GGGTTGACAATATTCACTGTCACCTGCTAATGAATGTCATATCTATTTTGTTACACCAAAAGTCTTTGTAGCTCAGAAACGGCAGCCAACCTCGATAATGACATCTTGTTTGTTGATAGTCTGCTGTTTACAATCGCTATCACACCGGCGCTTGATGAAATTGGCTGTTGCCGTCAAACGTTCTTGTGACCATCACGGTGGGGAAACGAAGCGGTGCACGCACATTTTTTGCGCATGTGATAATTTTCACTGTCTCATGGCAATATCACCCGCGCCCCTTCAAACCAATGTATTTTCGGAGGGTGACAGAGAGTTTTGTTTAATTTTCTCCCAACCAATCAAATAGCTAGAAATTCACTTGAGGTGTAACAATAAATAATGTCCCTCAGTCCGTCTGTATAGGTACAGTAAATAATGTCCCTCAGTCTGTCTGTATAGGTACAGTAAATAATGTCTCTCAGTCTGTCTGTATAGGTACAGTGAATAATGTCTCTCAGTCTGTCTGTATAGGTACAGTGAATAATGCCCCTCAGTCCATCTGTATAGGTACAGTAAATAATGTCCCTCACTCCGTCTGTATAGTTACAGTAAACAATGTCCCTCACTCCGTCTGTATAGATGCAAGTGACTTCCTTAGTAACATAATATAATGATTTGCGTTTGAAAATTCCTTTAATGTCTGTAATTTTATGGTCCCGTTAAAGTTTGCTACAGTTGACATTCCTCCAGTAATATTTTTATTTTGTAGTTATAACATATCAAAATTCGATTGGAACAAAAAGGTTTTTAAATCGGTTGATAAACGTAAAAAGTAAATCACTTCATAAACTGAAATGATTCCAAAATCCTACAATGAAGACTTGAAGGAACTGAAAACGACATCAACTTCACACTCAATATTAAATACAATGTACTTTGTTTTGGTTTTCATCGAAAAAATATTTGGAAGTTTTAAGTAATTCCTTATTAAGGTTAATTAAGGCGTCGTCGTCTACCAAAATAGGACGTATTAAACGACCATGGGAGTGATGCTATCGGATTCCATGTGAAACATACTCTATGATATTTCAGATAGAGACAAAAAAATCCACATAAAACCCGTTCTGCTGCAGCTTCAACAAAATATCGCCCGAATCTTGGAACTGTTTTTAAGCGCTTAACGGATAGTGTGAGAAAGCATCGTGAACTTAGAAGGCGGCATTGTACTGTAGCCGTATTTATATAAAATACGTGATGGCTCTAGACTTACAAAAGTCCCAACCGTAATTATTGCGGAAATATGATATCAATACATTTTGCGTGAAAAAAAACCTACATATGGAATATGCGATTTTTTTCTGCCTTCATTTTCCAGAAGGCATCGCCTGATAAGAATAATAGAGTTTGGGAACTTCACATGTATTTCGTTCTGAAATAATAATTTTCTGAGTTTTGCTACTATTCCGTTCTAAAGAAAATTGTGTTTGGAATTTTGGTACGAATTCGTTCTAATTGGAATAAAGTCAGAGTTTTTCACTTTTTCGTCCTAAAATAATTGTTTTTCGAGTTTGGGTACAATTTCGTTCCAACCAACGATTGAGGCGAGGGAATGTTATCCTGAGTACGAGTGAAAAGGGTTAGTCGATTTTTCATTATATATTAATGAAGTTGTTTTCTACCACAATACGCTGTGTTATTTCACTCTCAGATCATTGTATATGAGTTATATTCCACACGTGGTATATGACCTTCAAGAGTTTTGATTGGTCGAGAAGATAAACATTGACCGGGAGGACTTTTGCACGCGCTTTTTGCCACATGCTGTTTTGTTTACGTCGTCTGCTGACAACATCCGACAAATGTTGGTGACTTTGTGAGGATATGCGGAAAAGGGGGTTATTAAGGCAATATTAAAAGAAGATGATACTTAAAGATTTGATCGCTAGTTTCAGGCAAAATTGCTACAGACGCTCGATATCGCCCGTATTCATGAACCGTTCTCATGCTCAAAACATGGATTTTGTGCTCAAGTCTTATTTCTTGTTCCAGTTATAAATGATTTAAAAAATCTTATTTTGTTAAGGTTTTGGACAAAAATTGAAGAAACTTGAAGCCGAATACTGTTTTCAATATTTAAATTTGACTTTTTGATCGTTGACATGATTAAGGTGGGTTACAAGAAAGCTGGCTTGAGCACAGAATCCATGTTTGAGCATGAGAACGGTTCATGTAGACAGACCACGTTGTGCAGGTCAGGTTAGTTATGTGTTACAGGTATTGACACACACGTAGGCAGGCCACGTTGTGTAGGTCAGGTTAGTTATGTGTTACAGGTACTGACACACACGTAGACAGACCACGTTGTGTAGGTCAGGTTAGTTATGTGGTACAGGTATTGACACACACGTAGACAGACCACGTTGTGTAGGTCAGGTTAGTTATGTGTTACAGGTATTGACACACACGTAGACAGACCACGTGGTGTAGGTGAGGTTAGCTATGTGTTACAGGTATTGACACACACGTAGGCAGACCACGTTGCGTAGGTCAGGTTAGTTATGTGTTACAGGTATTGACACGCACGTAGACAGACCACGTTGTGTAGGTCAGGTTAGCTATGTGTTACAGATATTGACACACACGTAGACAGACCACGTTGTGTAGGTCAGGTTAGCTATGTGTTACAGATATTGACACACACGTAGACAGACCACGTTGTGCAGGTCAGGTTAGCTATGCGTTACAGGTATTAACACACACGTAGGCAGACCACGTTGTGCTGGTCAGGTTAGCTATGTGTTACAGGTATTGACACACACCTAGACAGACCACGTTGTGCAGGTCAGGTTAGCTATGTGTTACAGATATTGACACACACGTAGGCAGACCACGTTGTGTAGGTCAGGTTAGTTATGTGTTACAGGTATTGACACACACCTAGACAGACCACGTTGTGCAGGTCAGGTTAGTTATGTGTTACAGGTATTGACACACACGTAGACAGACCACGTGGTGTAGGTGAGGTTAGCTATGTGTTACAGGTATTGACACACACGTAGGCAGACCACGTTGTGCAGGTTGTGTGTGTTCTTAGTAAGACACATTTAACCGGTTACGTTATCTTCATTTGTTATCAGTTCCTGTCAAATTCATGGAATATCTATATTTGGATACATTTCATATGTTATAATTACTTGTCTTTCACGTGTCTGTAAAATGCTATTGCATACATTCTAACTATAGCCAACACCAATTGCGGCACATTGCATGCTTTCCATTCATATAGTACTTCCTCCACAAAGGATCCGTCAGTTTTGTTAAAGGTCAAACGAATACACATTGATATCTACATTTTTTCGAAATACTTAAGATATAAAAGCCTTTATGACAATACATATATTGTTAAACTAGTATATTTATTTACAATTTGATGTGAACACTACTGTGAAAAAACTAATGTTAGAAGTCAAGATTATGCTAACGATGCTTTTGTATTGATTGAAGTAGGCAGTTAAATTTTTTGATATCTGTGATTTTTGTTACTTTTGCGTTTAATTAACATTTTCGAAACAACGGGGTTTGAATTATCTTAATCATAGGTAAATGAGTACTTCAATAAATTGTCTTTGTAAAATTAAATATTTAAATCGTTTTATTGGTTCATGGTGACTTATCGGCGCATTTATGCTTTTTTGTTGTTTCTACTTTCGCTTTCGCTTTACAGGGATTTAGTTATTTCTACTTTCGCTTTCGTTTTACAGGGATGAGTTGTATGGATGTGGATTCCGAGGATGTCGTTCCGTTTCTTTATTTTCCGGATTGTTTTATCACTCCTTTTCATTGTTAATTATACTGATCACACCCCGTCGTTCTGTCACCTAACCTTATATGTACGTGGAAGCTTATTGGCTTGGAAGGACGTTTTGAAGTCGTTTTATTATTTTATACTGGATATTCCACATAACGTCCTCAGTTTTAGACCCGACTTCATCAACTTGCTGACGTGGATACAACTCTGGTTCAGGGACGTGTTCTGGTACAATGTGACAGATACCTTATCATCCCGGCAATGTTATAACGAAATGGCCAACACATCTATCTTGTATAAGTCATTACAACCGAAGACCCAGATTGTGACAGCGCCCACTGATTTACAATTACACAATTCTGTTACAGTACCGAGACAGATACCATATTACCTAGAGCACTTGCTTACATTGTTCGTGGTTCTCACGTTTCTATTGCTGGTGGTTTGTTTTCGTAACTCCAAATTAAGAAGGAGATTCCTTAAAGTAAGTTTAAAACATATCTTTAAATTTGATTCCCCATTTTTTGTTAAAATCGTTTTAATAGTTACTTTCTGTTTTGTTTTATATAATATTTCCCGACATTCAGCCTTCATAGAAATGTTCTGAAGATAACATACAGTCATGATTTCGTATTAAGAAACGAAAGTGGGAATTTACGCTGAGACATGTGACATCACGTATATGCGCTAAATGGTTGGTCCTGTACTATTGTCGCCATGGACAAGGAAGCCTTAGTATTATTCTACATTGTCAAATCCATTTGTCCGTTTGTTGGAGATATATCTGCACAGGTAGAGTGAATTGTCCATTTGTTAGAGATATATCTGCACAGGTAGAGTGAACTGTCCGTTTGTTGGAGATATATCTGCACAGGGAGAGTGAATTGTCCGTTTGTTTGAGATATATCTGCACAGGTAGAGTTAATTGTCCGTTTGTTGGAGATATATCTGCATAGGTAGAGCGAATTGTTCGTTTGTTGGAGACATATCTGCACAGGTAGAGTGAATTGTCCATTTGTTGGAGATATATCTGGACAGGTAGAGTGAATTGTCCGTTTGTTGGAGATATATCTGCACAGGTAGAGTGAATTGTCCGTTTGTTGGAGATATATCTGCATAGGTAGAGTGAATTGTTCGTTTGTTGGAGACATATCTGCACAGGTAGAGTGAATTGTCCATTTGTTGGAGATATATCTGCACAGGTAGAGTGAATTGTCCGTTTGTTGGAGATATATCTGCACAGGTAGCTATAGTGTGAACTGATTCGTTCACATTTCTGTTCTTGATGTATTCTATTTAAACTTTCATAATAAGGATTACGTTCATTATCAAGAAAGCAAACTCTTTTAATATAATGATCAGTTTGTAAACATGGAACTGAAGGTGCAATTTGTATCGACAGTTCGATTTGATAATCAATTTACCCTTAAAAAAATGATTTCTACTTTCGCTTTCGCTTTGGCATATGCTATCGATCTATTGCACCACGTGCATGGTTTTTAATGTCGGTTTGACCCTGCAGATCAGAAATATATCGAAGGATAGCTACTCGGTACCTTTAAGTACTTTAAAACCTTGATAACAAGTCTGATTTGAAACAGGTCGGCTAAGAAAATAAGTCTGGGATTATTTACAGTCAAATTTATCTCGAAAGTAAGCAATCTTAAGTTATCTTGTGTATGTTTAAAAACAAAATCATTGTTTTGATGCATTTTGGCACTACAAGCTAAGATGGGTTTGAACAAATCACGTCAAACAGTTCCAGTCCCTTTTATAAAGAAAGATTACCCCTACCCCTAATGTAACAACAGATAAACCTGTATTCTGTAATCGAATACAATCACTGAAAAAAATCTTAGTACAGAACTACAATAGGGAGTTTAAGAAGTGGAGTCTTCAAAGAGTCTCTCCAGCAGGCTTGATTTATCTTGCATTTTAATATCATTGATATTAAATAAGAGTCAATATAAATACTTATTATTCTCATTGACATTAATCAATTAATCATTGATATATATCTTAATATGGCAATACAAATAATAAATATATATTTTTTAATCGAAACGAAGACAATCGCTATGGTTTGAGAGATATACGGGTACACAAGTTTGTCTCTGGATTCACATTCTAGTTTTTGTTCTATCATGGTATGCGTTTGATGATGGCTATTTTTTGCCATTTATTGTTTTGCAGTATTGTTTCATAGTTAATGTGTATCTCTTTGTTATTTGTTGTGTTATGTAAGTGTTCATGTTTCTACAATGAAAAGGAGGCGGATTGCCTTGAACATTTGCCATATTCCCTTACAAGCACTGTTGTTAACAGAGACCTTTCAAAAGTTCGATTCGTAATGAAATTATCGTTTTCTTTTCAAGCTAAAAATACGATGTCTAATGTGAACAAAGCATCCTTAATGCAATAACTATGTTTCTTTTTAGATAATATACAACATACAACGTATCATGCAGCCTAAAAGACAATTTGAGGAAGATGAAGAAAAACAGTCTGACGACCAGCTTTCTAAACCAAAGGTTTATTATCAGAATGACTGTTGTTTGTAACGTTTAAATAGAATGCAATTGTGTGATGAGATTGTAGTAGGTATAATTTTACTGACCTTTTGTGTTATGTTGAATATTTCTCCCTTATTCGTATTAGTTTGCAAATACTGATGATCATGAAAGTATTTTGTATATCAGGTAGACAGTTTACAGGGAATAAATGCGGTTCAAAATGATAACTTATTGTTTTGGGTGTTTTGTTTATCCTTGTATACTCTATATATATAACTGGTTCGTTTATGTCACCAAAGTGTTATAATAGGTTATGGTTGTATACGATACAGTTATTTGTACGGTCATCATTATTTATAAATAGAATTTTGTAATTTTGAATTGTTGTTAAACAGATTCAGAAATACATGGGGACAGAGGAAAAAGATGGTCAAACTATTGGGAAACAAACTGAAGATGCCGCAGGAGTTGACCGAATACAACATAAAGAGGTAATGCACAGTAAGACGTGAAAACTGGTAAATGCCTACTACAAAGAGGCGAATGCACAGTCACACGTGACAACTGTTAAATGCCTACTACAAACAGGCGAATGCACAGTCAGACGTGACTACTGTTAAACGCCTACTACAAACAGGCGCATGCACAGCCAGACGTGACAACTGTTAAACGCCTACTACAAGGAGGCGAATGCACAGTCAGACGTGACTACTGTTAAACGCCTACTACAAACAGGCGAATGCACAGTCAGACGTGAAAACTGTTAAATGCCTACTACAAAGAGGCAAATGCACAGTCAGACGTGACAACTGGTAAATGCCTACTACAAAGAGGCGAATGGACAGTCAGACGTGACAACTGTTAAATGCCAACTACAAACAGGCGAATGCACAGTCAGACGTGACTACTGTTAAACGCCTACTACAAACAGGCGCATGCACAGCCAGACGTGACAACTGTTAAACGCCTACTACAAAGAGGCGAATGCACGGTCAGACGTGACAACTGTTAAATGCCAACTACAAACAGGCGAATGCACAGTCAGACGTGGCAACTGTTGAATGCCTACTAACAAGAGTCGAATGCACAGTCAGACGTGACAACTGTTGAATGCCTACTAACAAGAGGCGAATGCAGTCAGACGTGACAACTGTTAAATGCCAACTACAAACAGGCGAATGCACAGTCAGACGTGGCAACTGTTGAATGCCTACTAACAAGAGTCGAATGCAGTCAGACGTGACAACTGTTAAATGCCTACGACAAAGAGGCGAATGCACAGTCAGACGTTACTACTGTTAAATACCTACTACGAAGAGGCGAATGCACAGTCAGACGTTACTACTGTTAAATACCTACTACGAAGAGGCGAATGCACAGTCAGACGTTACTACTGTTAAATACCTACTACGAAGAGGCGAATGCACAGTCAGACGTGACAACTGTTGAATGCCTACTAACAAGAGGCGAATGCAGTCAGACGTGACAACTGTTAAATGCCTACTACAAAGAGGCGAATGCACAGTCAGACGTGACAACTGTTAAATGCCTACTACAAAGAGGCGAATACACAGTCAGACGTGACAACTATTAAATGCCTATTACAAAGAGGCGAATGCACAGTCAGACGTGGCAACTGTTGAATGCCTACTACAAAGAGGCGAATGCAGAGTCAGACGTGACAACTGGTAAATGCCTACTACAAAGAGGCGAATGCACAGTCAGACATGACAACTGTTAAATGCCTACCACAAAGAGGCGAATGCACAGTCAGACGTGACAACTATTAAATGCCTACTACAAAGAGGCGAATGCACAGTCAGGCGTGACAACTGTTAAACGCCTACTACAAAGAGGCGACTGCACAGTCAGACGTGACAACTGTTAAACGCCTACTACGAAGAGTCGAATGTACAGTCAGACGTGACAACTGTTAAACGCCTAATACAAAAGAGGCGAATGTACAGTCAGACGTGACAACTGTTAATCGCCTACTAAGAAGAGGCGAATGCAGGCAGACGTGACAACTGTTAAACGCCTACTACAAAGAGGCGAATGCAGTCAGACGTGACAACTGTTAATCGCCTACTAAGAAGAGGCGAATGCAGTCAGACGTCACAACTGTTAAACGCCTACTACAAAGAGGCGAATTTACAGTCAGACGTGACAACTGTTAAACGCCTACTACAAACAGGCGAATGCACAGTCAGACGTGACAACTGTTGAAGGCCTACTACAAAGAGGCGAATGCACAGTCAGACATGACAACTGTTAAATGCCTACCACAAAGAGGCGAATGCACAGTCAGACGTGACAATTGTTAAACGTCTACTACGAAGAGGCGAATGCACAGTCAGACGTGACAACTTTTAAATGCCTACTACAAAGAGGCGAATGCAGTCAGAGGTGACAACTGTTAAATGCCTACTACAAAGAAGCGACTGCACAGTCAGACGTGACAACTGTTAAACGCCTACTTCAAAAGAGGCGAATGCACAGTCAGACGTGACAACTATTAAATGCCTACTACAAAGAGGCGAATGCACAGTCAGGCGTGACAACTGTTAAACGCCTACTACAAAGAGGCGAATTTACAGTCAGACGTGACAACTGTTAAACGCCTACTTCAAAAGAGGCGAATGCACAGTCAGACGTGACAACTATTAAATGCCTACTACAAAGAGGCGAATGCACAGTCAGACATGACAACTGTTAAATGCCTACCACAAAGAGGCGAATGCACAGTCAGACGTGACAACTGGTAAATGCCTACTACAAAGAGGCGAATGCACATTCAGACGTGACAACTGTTAAATGCCTGCTACAAACAGGCGAATGCACGGTCAGACGTGACAAATGTTAAATGCCTACTACAAAGAGGCGAATGCACGGTCAGACGTGACAACTGTTAAACGCCTACTACAAAGAGGCGAATTTACAGTCAGACGTGACAACTGTTAAACGCCTACTACGAAGAGGCGAATGTACAGTCAGACGTGACAACTGTTAATCGCGTACTAAGAAGAGGCGAATGCAGTCAGACGTGACAACTGTTAATCGCCTACTAAGAAGAGGCGAATGCAGTCAGACGAGACAACTGTTAAACGCCTACTACAAAGAGGCGACTGCACAGTCAGACGTGACAACTGTTAAATGCCTACTACAAACAGGCGAATGCAGTCAGACGTGACAACTGTTGAATGCCTACTACAAACAGGCGAATGCACAGTCAGACGTGACAACTGTTGAATGCCTACTACAAAGAGGCGAATGCAGAGTCAGACGTGACAACTGTTGAATGCCTACTACATAGAGGCGAATGCACAGTCAGACGTGACAACTGTTTGTTAAACGTCTACTACGAAGAGGCGAATGCACAGTCAGACGTGACAACTGGTAAATGCCTACTACAAAGAGGCGAATGCACATTCAGACGTGACAACTGTTAAATGCCTGCTACAAACAGGCGAATGCACGGTCAGACGTGACAAATGTTAAATGCCTACTACAAAGAGGCGAATGCACGGTCAGACGTGACAACTGTTAAATGCCTACTACAACCAGGCGAATGCACAGTCAGACGTGACAACTGTTAAACGCCTACTACAAAAGAGGCGAATGTACAGTCAGACGTGACAACTGTTAATCGCCTACTAAGAAGAGGCGAATGCAGTCAGACGTGACAACTGTTAAACGCCTACTACAAAGAGGCGAATGCAGTCAGACGTGACAACTGTTAAATGCCTACTAAAAACAGGCGAATGCAGTCAGACGTGACAACTGTAAAATGCCTACTACAAACAGGCGAATGCACGGTCAGGCGTGACAACTGTTAAAAGACTACTACAAAGAGGCGAATGCAAAGTCAGACGTGACAACTGTTAAACCCCTACTACGAAGAGTCGAATGGACAGTCAGACGTGACAACTGTTAAATGCCTACTACAAACAGGCGAATGCAGTCAGACGTGACAACTGTTAATCGCCTACTACAAAAGAGGCGAATGCACGGTCAGACGTGACAACTGTTAAACGCCTACTACAAAAGAGGCGAAGGCACAGTCAGACGTGACAACTGTTGAATGCCTACTACAAAGAGGCGAATGCAAAGTCAGACGTGACAACTGTTAAACCCCTACTACGAAGAGTCGAATGTACAGTCAGACGTGACAACTGTTAAACGCCTACTACAAAAGAGGCGAATGTACAGTCAGACGTGACAACTGTTAATCGCCTACTAAGAAGAGGCGAATGCAGTCAGACGTGACAACTGTTAAACGCCTACTACAAAGAGGCGAATTTACAGTCAGACGTGACAACTGTTAAACGCCTACTACAAAGAGGCGAATTTACAGTCAGACGTGACAACTGTTAAATGCCTACTAAGAAGAGGCGAATGCACAGTCAAACGTGACTACTGTTAAATACCGACTACGAAGAGGCGAATGCACAGTCAGACGTGACAACTGTTAAATGCCTACTACAAAGAGGCGAATGCACAGTCAAACGTGACTACTGTTAAATACCTACTACGAAGAGGCGAATGCACAGTCAGACGTGACAACTGTTAAATTCCTACTAAGAAGAGGCGAATGCACAGTCAAACGTGACTACTGTTAAATACCTACTACAAAGAGGCGAATGCACAGTCAGACGTGACAACTGTTAAATGCCTACTAAGAAGAGGCGAATGCACAGTCAAACGTGACTACTGTTAAACGCCTACTACAAACAGGCGAATGCACAGTCAGACGTTACAACTGTTAAATGCCTACTACAAAGAGGCGAATGCACAGTCAGACGTGACAACTGTTAAATGCCTACCACAAAGAGGCGAATTGCCTTGAAAGTTTGACACATTTTGTAGACTGTACTGTCGTTATTACTTCCTTACATATATATATTAAAATAGACATTTCTAAAGTACGATTCGCAATGTAATCATCTTTTTTTTTTCAGGCTGAAAATACAATGTCTTTTGTGAACAACGCAGCCTTATTGTAATAATTATATTTCTTTTTTAGATCATGCAACTTAAAAGACCACTTAAGCAAGCCGAAGAAAAGCAGTCCGACGACCAGCCTCCTCAACAAAAGGTTTATAGTCAAAACTACTGTTGTTCGTAATTATAAAATAGAATGCAATGTTTGCAATTGTGAGATGAGGTTATAGTAGGTATATTTTTACTGACCTTTTGTGTTATGTTGAATTTTCTCCCTTAATCGTATTAGTTTGCAAATACTGATGATCATGAAAGTATTTTGTATATCAGGTAGACAGTTTACAGGGAATGAATGCGGTTCAAAATGATTTTTTTTTTTTTTTGGGGTGTTTTGTTTATCCTTGTATATTCTATATGTACAACTGGTTCGTTTATGTCGCCAAAGTGTTATAATAGGTTATGGTTGTATACGATACAGTTATTTGTACGGTCATCATTATTTATATTTTTGTATTTTCGTATTGTTGATAAATAGTTTCAGAAATGCATGCGGACAGAGGAAAAAGACGGTAAAAAGAATAGGAAACAGAAAGAGTGTGACCGAATACAACATGAAGAGGTAAATCAAAACAATAGTCAATAACGGAATGCTTCTTTACAAATAACTTACTGATGTAGACCCTGATATCAACATAAATATGCACAATCTGACGTTTTCCAATCAGATATAATTGAATTTACAACATTTTAATGCTTACGAATAATGATAAACTAGAAAAGACTAAAGAAAGAGGGTAGTTTAATGCAAAAACCTAGAAAACAACAAAAGGTAATATTTATTTGTTTCCGAATAGTTTGGTTCAAATATTGTCTGTGTCGTTTTTATGTAACGACACGTGGTTACTGTATTAATGCTAGTTTTAATTAAATATAACTCCTTAAAACAGGAAACAGAAAGACAAAAACATGAAGAAAGAAGGAAACAGGAAGAAACAAGAAAACAGGAAGAAACAAGAAAAAAGGAAGAAAGAAGAAAACAAGAAGAACAAAGGAAACAGGAAGAGACAAGAAAACATGAAGAAAGAAGAAAACAGGAAGAAAAAAGAAAACAGGTACAGAGAAGAAAAAGCTTCTGGCGAATTGTTTCAAATGATATAGACATCGTGTTATAATGATTACTTACATGGTTCTGTTGAAGTGCATGTATTACATTGCATCTCCTGCACACACGCAGGCATACACACATAAGGAGATATTAGCCAGGTGGCATAGGACTAGTAGTTAGCGCCTGATAAGGCAGCTCCTGCGAATTCCTCAAAATTGTATTGATTAATGTATATGCTAATTGTATTAATTGTGTATCTGTGTATTGTCAAGCACTTAAGAGTGGCTTAGGTTAGCTTGATAGGGCGCTTTATCAAATGTTGTATATATTATAATAGAAATATTTCTTTTTGTTTGTGTAATCGTTTAATTCAGTGAGTTGTTTTTATAAACCAAAACACTACAGATATGAAGATTATTCCCTCAGTTGAAATCGTAACCAATTTAACAAAGAAAGTATACTAATCGATACCTTTCATTTTCAGACGTTGTTCTGTGTTTATGCTATAAACACGAATTCAACAAATTAATATTTTTGATTGTTAAGGAGAGTGAGTATACTATGTTGTTTCATTATGAGAATCGATTTAACAAGGGCACATTGTTTCAGGTATTACGTGAAGTTGTTAAGAAATTCAAGGAACCCGGCTGTATAACACCTAACAATCAACCAACGGTAAGCGTTACAAAATTCAAAGTTAGAAAAATATGAGTTGATTGAGTTATTGTCAGTATTCTGTGTAATCAGATGAAGTTTATCAATGCTTAATTGTCAGTATTCTGTGTAATCAGATGAAGTTGATCAATGTTTAATGGTCAGTATGCTGTGTAACCAGATGAAGTTAATAAATGTTTAATTGTCAGTATTCTAAGAATCAGATGAAGTTGATCCATGTTTAATTGTCAGTATTCTGTGTAATCAGATGAAGTTTATCAATGTTTAATTGTCAGTATTCTGTGTAATCAGATGAAGTTGATCAATGTTTAATGGTCATTATGCTGTATAACCAGATGAAGTTAATAAATGTTTAATTGTCAGTATTCTAAGAATCAGATGCAGTTGATCCATGTTTAATTGTCAGTATTCTGTGTAATCAGATGAAGTTGATCAATGTTTAATGGTCATTATGCTGTATAACCAGATGAAGTTAATAAATGTTTAATTGTCAGTATTCTAAGAATCAGATGCAGTTGATCCATGTTTAATTGTCAGTATTCTGTGTAATTAGATGAAGTTTATCAATGTTTAATTGTCAGTATTCTGTGTAATCAGATGAAATTGATCAATGTTTAATTGTCAGTATTCTGTGTAATCAGATGAAGTTGATCAATGCTTAATTGTCAGTATTCTGTGTATATCAGATGAAGTTGATCCATTTTTAATTGTCAGTATTCTATGTAATGAGATGAAGTTTATCAATGTTTAATTGAAGTAAAATATCAATTGTACTTCACTAGGGACTGATGTGTGAAACTTAACGAGTAATCAATAATTACGAATTTGATTTTTAAGCCAACGCCATGATGTAGCATACTTTTATAAGGTACATGCTATGAACGGCATACATGCTAGTTATATAATTTAGCATTTATATAATTAGAACTGCTATTTTACTGAACAAACTTATATTTAGAATTTTGTAACAACATTTACAGTCTATATGGATAGCTATATATAGCTTGTTATTCTGTTCGTGCATGTAGCCTGAAATAAATATATTCAATTTTCAGGGCTTACCAAATCTGGGGAACACGTGTTACTTGAATTCACTCCTTCAGGTATTATAATCATTTTCTGTTTACGCATTGATTCACTTATTTCTTTCGTGTTTAATTCCTTTTTATTATATATACGCCTCACCGTTATCGTTTTCATTTCTCAAATATATTCTAATTATCTATATCTCATTTACATTGCCATTATTTATTAATATATTGTTGTAAATGTCTGCATGAAAATGTGAACTGTCTGATTTAAATGGTAAAACTTCTCAAACAGAGTACCAAGAAAAAATAGAAAAAAAACAAGTATTACTAGTCCTCATAACGGTATAATGTCTTTTTAGATGTCTGCCTAATGCCAGCATTTGAAATTAAAGTATAATGCAAACCTTTGAGATTTCGAGTTTATGTCAGGTTTTGATATTTCGACCTTATATCAGCTTTTGAGATTTCAGCCTAATGATAGCCTTTGAGATTTTGGTCTAATGTCATCTTTTGAGATTTTAGTCTAATGACAGCTTTTGAGATTTTAGTCTAATGCCAGCTTTTGAGATTTTGGTCTAATGTCAGCTTTTGAGATTGATTTTGGTCTAATGTCATCTTTTGAGATTTTGGTCTTATGTCATCTTTTGAGATTTCATCATTATGCCAGGTTTTGAGGCGTCGGCGTTATTATTGTTCTTCGTCTATAATGATGAACGACTGTAACACTGTGTTGAGTGTTAGTAACATGTGTACTCTCGCGGATATGACGTCAGACATAGCACGATGGCCGCCACATGTTGAAATGATCCTTTTCATTTTGGTTATATTTAGTTTTTATTGTTAACTGTATCGACTGCAGATCATTTTTGTGTCTATTTATAGTGTGGTGGTGCATTTTCCTAATTACTGTTAACCAATCCTATCATACTTCAACCCATCCTTTAATACTTCAACCAATCCTATCATACCAACCAATCCTATCATACTTCAACCAATCCTATCATACTTCAACCAATCCTATAATACGAAGTAAAACGATATCGTATTTGCAGGTTCTGAGCTGGACGCCATTGTTAGGACAACAGCTTGCTGAGCAGTTATGGAAATCAGTAGGAAACGACAAAATAGATATACATATATGTCAGCTTCATCTAATCGAATTAATATTTTAATTGAACGAATGATAACAAAAAGAAAGAAAAGGGTTTAACATAACACTTATTTTGTTGACATAATTACATCAATGTTTCGTAAGAACAAAACCAGATTTATTGAAATATAAGTGTTAAGCGTAGTCATCACAAAAAAAAATACGTTCTTAAAATAAAACCATGTGATTGTGTAAATAACACTGCTTACATTTTGTAATAAACAGAAAGAATTTCTCAACATGGATAACGTACCAGCACGATTGTTGCGGCTCATTTTGAACGTTCATACACAAAAAGGTATCAGGATGACATTACCTCATTATCTCCCGGGAAACGTACTACAGGAGGCCAGAAAGCTGTAAGAATGCTTTATCATAGAAGTCATGCTTACTGCTATTTTGAGCATTGTATGATAGACAGTTAAAAAGAACATTATGAAAAAAATGAACATGTTCCTTTGCAGAACATCTGTCATTGTGATATTGTATTCTTTGACATTTATACATAAACCTAAGATTTACATGTATATGATATATACACTTTAAAGAATGTTCATAGTTGCAATTCTGAACCTCCGACGATGAAATATAGAAATAAGTTCGCTTCATGTTTGATACACTCCATGAAGAAAAGATGTATGTCAATAAATAGGTTTCAAGAAAGACTTTCAAAAGGCAATTTAAATATTTTTTTTAAGTTGGCGTCACTGTCGTGCCGGACGTGATTATTTTGACGCCATAGTAGCAAACGTTACATAGTATCATCTTTATAAATTTATAACAAAACATCACTTTGGTGAAATAATGTACGTGACATTTTTTCGCAATACCATTGGCCGAATCATATACACGTGGTCAGTTCTCAAAAAACTATAGTCTGCTTATCCGTAGAAGGTCATTTTCTAAATGTAGCCTTTACGAGAATCCCCAACACTGCTATCGCGAATAACCATTTGCTTAATTAATATTTGAAAGGATCACATCGTTTAACATCAAACATATTTTTTATTGGTCAACAGAAATTTACGGAAAAAGAAAATTGGAAATCTGATGTAAAACATGACATCTTAACCATTTAATTAGAAACCTTATTTTGTTATCTCATGAGGTAATGTCATGGCAAAATACCATCTGATATAAACCTCAAAAGTGATACTGACAGAGTAACGACATTCTGTAACGACAGCCGAAAACAAGTTATGTAAACCATTTCTTTTAGATAATTTGAATTCTGATAGCTGAAGATGTGACGTACATTTAAATTATGAAAAGGCGCTGTCAATGTGGTTAAATTTTACAATATGTATGAATGTGTGACTACATCGGATATGTACTGTAACCGTCCGGAAATGACGTAGTTTATGTTAATATTATATAGCAATGATCAGTTTATTGGTTACCGGCAACAAGACAGCTTCGAGATGTACAACACTCTGATCGAGGGCGTGGAGAATATGGCGAGATTGGCACCCCTCCAAGTATGTGATATTGATATAAAAAAATTAACAACCAGCTTTGACGTACCCGTAAGAAGAGAGCTTTTTCTAACGGTTAAACCTCTGTGTGCTGGAGGGCACGGGTTAGTTCTCAATAACATGTATCGGACATCTAAACAGCGTCTTAAAATAATAGACGATAAAAAACCCAATTGTTATTAGAAATAATCAAAAATGTGTACAGATGTTATTGGACATTGTGTATTTAAGAACTACATGAGCAGCATATAAAAGGTATTTCAGAACGTATCATTATACACACTACATCATATATGTATGTCGTTATAATTAACTGCTGTTACAGAACATTATTTAAATCCTTATTATGTACGTCATGTTGTAATAACATAAACCATTTTGGACTTTCAGTACCTTGTATGTATATTGCCCATTTCTTCATTTACCACCTCGCTAACTGCAAACAGTCCCCTTTTCATAAGAATTTCTTCATATGTTTCACTCAATTTATCGCCTAACCCCTTTATAACGCCATAGTTTTAGTTTTTTTCTTTTCTGCGCGCGGGGGGGGGGGGGGGGGGGGGGGGGGTTACTGTAATTAACTACCTATCTTAATATACTTATTATTAGAACATAATAACGTACAATGTAGCCATATGAATTGATTAAGTGATGCTATTAATATTAATATTTGACTTATTTTAGCAAGAAGACAACAGTCAGATGACAGGTAATAAACTTTACTTCATCATTTATTTTCAGTGCTACTCCTACCTACAACGTTATTCTTAGTTGTGTAATTATATTGTTACTTCTCTATTGTTTCGTACATAATTATTGACTGTGGAGTATATGTGATATATAAGTTACAACGTATTTTATGATCAGCTTGTTATATACAGCATTCTAACTGTAAAGTAAGCATTACTTTTTAATTTTTGTTTCAGACAACGAGGTCCTTATGAATAAGTCACCAGTATCAAGGCTTGTAGGAGGCACTTTTGTCACAGTCTGGTACTACGAATCTTGTGAGCACGTGCGTATGATTGTTAATTATGTCGAACAGATTGCATAGTAGCACGTATGTATGTATGTATGTATGTATGTATGTATGTATGTATCATATTAGTAAAGTCATCATTATACACGTGTTTGTTTTTGTTCAAGAGCAGATGTACACTGACGATACGACCATTCAATAAATGATAATATTTTGAAGGTGGAGTTGACGTTCCAGAGATTCACCAGTGTCAGTGTTCCGGTACCTAAACCACAGACAGTTCACACGGTAAAGTACTATACACCTTTTTGTTCAAGAGCAGATGTATACTGACGATACGACCATTCAATAAATGATAATATTTTGAAGATGGAGTTGACGTTCCAGAGATTCACCAGTGTCAGTGTTCCGGTACCTTAACCACAGACAGTTCAAACGGTAAACTACTATACACCTAAACCACAGACATTTAAAACGGTAAAGTACCATACACCTAAACCACATACAGTTAGAACGGTAAAGTACTATACACCTTTTTGTTCAAGAGCAGATGTATACTGACGATACGACCATTCAATAAATGATAATATTTTGAAGGTGGAGTTGACGTTCCAGAGATTCACCAGCGTCAGTGTTCCGGGACCTAAACCACAGACAGTTAGAACGGTAAAGTACTATACACCTAAACTACAGACAGTTAAAACGGTAAAGTAATATACACCTAAACCACAGACATTTAAAACGGTAAAGTACCATACACCTAAACCACAGACAGCTGAAACGGGCAACTACTATACACGTAAACCCCAGCCAGTTAAACGGTAAAATACTATACACATAAACCAAAGACAGTTCAAACGGTAAAGTACCATATACTTAAACCACAGACAGTAAAAACGGTAAAGTACTATACACCTCAACCACAGACAGTTGAAACGGTAATGTACTATACACCTAAACCACAAACAGTTAAAACAGTAAAGTACTATACACCTAAAGCACAGACAGTTCAAACGGTAAAATTGTATACGCCTAAACCACAGACAGTTCAAACAGTAAAGTACCATACACCTAAACCACAGACAGATCAAACGGTAAAGTACTATACACATAAACCACAGACAGTTAAAACTGTAAAGTACTATACACCTAAACTACAGACAGTTAAAACGGTAAAATACTATACCCGTAAACCACAAACAGTTCAAACGGTAAAGTACCATACACCTAAACCACAGACAGGTCAAACGGTAAAGTGCTATACACCTAAACCACAGACATTTAAAACGGTAAAGTACCATACACCTAAACCACAGACAGTTAATACGGTAAAGTACTATACACCTCAACCACAGACAGTTGAAACGGGAAACTACTATACCCGTAAACCCCAGACAGTTAAACGGAAAACTACTATACACGTAAACCGCAGACAGTTAAAACGGTAAAATATTATACACCTAAACCACAGACAGGTCAAACGGTAAAGTGCTATACACCTAAACCACAGACAATTCAAACGGTAAAATACTTTACACGTTAACCACAGACAGTTAAAACAGTAAAATACTAAACACGTAAACCACAGACAGTTCAAAGGGTAAAATAGTATACATCTAAAACACAGACAGTTCAAACGGTAAACTACTATACACCTAAACCACAGACATTTAAAACGGTAAAGTACCATACACCTAAACCACATACAGTTAGAACGGTAAAGTACTATACACCTCAACCACAGACAGTTGAAACGGGAAACTACTATACCCGTAAACCCCAGACAGTTAAACGGAAAACTACTATACACGTAAACCACATACAGTTAAAACGGTAAAATACTATACACGAAAACCACAGACAGTTAAACGGCAAAATACTATACACCTAAACCAGACATAGTTTAAACGGTAAAATGATACACACCTAAACCACAGACAGTTCAAACAGTAAAGTACCATACACCTAAACCACATACAGTTAAAACGGTAAAATACTATACACGAAAACCACAGACAGTTAAACGGCAAAATACTATACACGTAAACCCCAGACAGTTAAACGGAAAACTACTATACACGTAAACCGCAGACAGTTAAAACGGTAAAATCCTATACACCTAAACCACAGACAATTCAAACGGTAAAATACTTTACACGTTAACCACAGACAGTTAAAACAGTAAAATACTAAACACGTAAACCACAGACAGTTCAAACAGTAAAGTACCATACACCTAAACCACATACAGTTAGAACGGTAAAGTACTATACACCTCAACCACAGACAGTTGAAACGGAAAAGTACTATACACCTAAACCAAAGACAGTTAAAACGGTAAAGTTCTATACACCTAAACCACAGACATTTAAAACGGTAAAGTACCATACACCTAAACCACATACAGTTAAAACGGTAAAGTACCATACACCTAAACCACATACAGTTAAAACGGTAAAGTACCATACACCTAAACCACATACAGTTAGAACGGTAAAGTACTATACACCTTTTTGTTCAAGAGCAGATGTATACTGACGATACGACCATTCAATAAATGATAATATTTTGAAGATGGAGTTGACGTTCCAGAGATTCACCAGTGTCAGTGTTTCGGTACCTAAACCACAGACAGTTAGAACGGTAAAGTACTATACACCTAAACCCCAGACAGTTAAAACTGTAAAATACTATACACGTAAACCCCAGCCAGTTAAACGGTAAAATACTATACACGTTAACCACAGACAGTTGAAACGGGAAAACAATATGCAGGTAAACCACAGACAGTTCAAAGGGTAAAATAGTATACATCTAAAACACAGACAGTTCAAACGGTAAACTACTATACACCTAAACCACAGATAGTTCAAACGGTAAAGTACTATACGCCTAAACCACAGACAGTTCAAAATATTTTGAAGGTGGAGTTGACGTTCCAGAGATTCACCAGCGTCAGTGTTCCGGGACCTAAACCACAGACAGTTAGAACGGTAAAGTACTATACACCTCAACCACAGACAGTTGAAACGGGAAAACAATATGCAGGTAAACCACAGACAGTTCAAACAGTAAAGTACTATACACCTAAACTACAGACAGTTAAAACGGTAAAGTTCTATACACCTAAACCACAGACATTTAAAACGGTAAAGTACCATACACCTAAACCACATACAGTTAGAACGGTAAAGTACTATACACCTTTTTGTTCAAGAGCAGATGTACTCTGACAATACGACCATTCAATAAATGATAATATTTTGAAGGTGGAGTTGACGTTCCAGAGATTCACCAGTGTCAGTGTTCCGGGACCTAAACCACAGACAGTTAGAACGGTAAAGTACTATACACCTAAAGCACAGACAGTTCAAACGGTAATGTACTATACACCTAAACCACAGACAGATCAAACGGTAAAGTACTATACGCCTAAACCACAGACAGTTAAACCGGTAAAGTACCATCCACCTAAACCACAGACAGTTAAAACGGTAAAATACTATACACGTAAACCACAGACAGTTAAACGGTAAAATACTATACACGTAAACCACAGACAGTTAAAACGGTAAAATACTATACAAGTAAACCACAAACAGTTCAAACGGTAAAATACTATACACGTAAACCGTTCAAACGGTAAAGTACTATACACCTAAACCACAGACATTTAAAACGGTAAAGTACCATACACCTAAACCACAGACAGGTAAAACGGTAAAGTACTATACACCTAAACCACAGACAGTTGAAACGGAAAACTACTATACACGTAAACCACAGACAGTTGAAACGGTAAACTACTATACACGTAAACCACAGACAGTTGAAACGGTAAAATACTATACGCCTAAACCACAGACAGTTCAAACGATAAAATACTATACACGTAAACCACAGACAGTTCAAACGGTAAAACACTATACACGTAAACCACAGACAGCTGAAACGGTAAACTACTATACACCTAAACCACAGACAGTTTAAACGGTAAACTACTATACACCTAAACCACAGACAGTTTACACGGTAAAATACTACACACGTTAACAACAGACAGTTGAAACGGTAAACAACTATACGCCTAAACCACAGACAGTTCAAACGGTAAAATACTATACACCTAAATACCAGACAGTTCAAATGGTAAAATACTATACACGTAAACCACAGACAGTTTAAACGGTAAAATACTATACACATAAACCAAAGACAGTTCAAACGGTAAAGTACTATGCACCTAAACCCCAGACAGTTAAAACTGTAAAATACTATACACGTAAACCACAGACAGTTCAAACGGTAAAGTACTATACACCTAAACCACAGACAGTTCAAACGGTAAAATACTATACACCTAAACCACAGACAGTTTAAACGGTAAATACTATACACCTAAACCAGAGATAGTTTAAACGGTAAATACTATACACCTAAACCAGAGATAGTTTAAACGTTAAATGCTATACACCTAAACCACAGACAGTTTAAACGGTAAAATACTATACACATAAACCAAAGACAGTTCAAACGGTAAAGTACTATGCACCTAAACCCCAGACAGTTAAAACTGTAAAATACTATACACGTAAAGCAAAGACAGTTCAAACGGTAAAATACTATACACCTAAACCACAGACAGTTCACACGGTAAAGTACTATACACCTAAACCACAGACAGTTCAAACGGTAAAGAACTATACACGTAAACCACAGACAGTTCAAACGGTAAACTACTATACGCCTAAACCACAGACAGTTCAAACGATAAAATACTATACACGTAAACCACAGACAGTTCAAACGGTAAACTACTATACACGTAAACCACAGACAGTTAAAACGGTAAAGTACTATACACCTAAACCAAAGACAGTTAAAACAGTAAAATACTATACACGTAAACCACAGACAGTTCAACCTGTAAAGTACTATACACCTAAACCACAGACAGTTTAAACGGTAAATACTATACAAATAAATCAGACATGTAACTGACTGTAACGTATAAACATCAGTCTGTCCGAAGAAGCCCAAGAAGGCAGAAAGGCCTAGCGGACAGTCGTGTGTATCTATTTTTTTGCTTTATTGATAGAGAGAATTAAAGGATATCGATTTTATTTCTAAATACATTTCATTACAGCTACATACTTGTATCAGATTGAGATTTCTTAAAATTATCTAAAACAGGATTTTAAATTTGAGTATTTTCAGGTTTCTTTTTTCAAAAGGCGCAGCTGGTGTAACAATTATTTCAATACATGCCCATATATCTACAGTCTACATTGTAAACTAGAGTTATCGTCTCCTCAACTGATCATTAAACTTAAAAAGTGGGCGGAGCTATGCAAATTTTGCGCGAACGAGACACAATTATGTGACGTCATGAACAGTTGATACTGGCAGAGTTAACCAACGCCTATGCAAATTCCAGGCTGTTACTTTTATTGAACCGTCATCTCGTTACCTGACTAAAATAGAGGGGCTATCCCTTGAATATTTTCGACTTGCATGTAAAGTTTATTTACAGCCTACGCTCCCTGTACTAAATAATTACAAATATTTTGGCTTACAGAAAACTAAACCCGTGACTGGTGTCAAACGCAAAAGTAGTGACGCTGAGCATGATGATGGAACTTTCAATGATACCACGGTTACTCACACGAGAACATCAAAAAACGTACGTAACAAAAACAATGATTGTGAAAAAAATCATTAATTTCGTATTTGAAAAATAATAATCATTTGAATATGTAATCAAATGTTATATGTCAGTCTATCATTAGGAGGCACGATAGTCTAGTGGTAGGACGTCGGGCTCGTGACTGAAGGGTTGCGGGTTCGAGTCACGGCACGGCACTCTGTTGTATCTTTGAGCAAGATACTTTACTCCACTTGTTCCAGTCTACTCAGCTGTAAATGAGTACGTGGTTGGGCAGGGCTAGAACTGCTGAATGCTAGCTGTGAGCACCGAAATGGCAGCACTGGCTGGTTGCTCCCCGATGAGTTGAGAAAGATATTGGCTAATTGCAAAGGCCCTATTACCACGGATAATAATTTGTGAACCGTTTTGAGACGATCTACAAACTAGGTTGTAATAAAGCGGTATATAAGAACCTCGATTTATTATTATTATTATTATTATTATTACTTTTGATAGGAAAGAAAAGTGTACATACCTGAGAAAAGTATGGGTTGTTTCTAATTTCTGTAAATTTAGCCTGCTTTTTTGTACTTCATATATTTTTCATATCATTAACAAATCAGTGTATAAATATTACAGTATAGAAATGTCTTTGACGTAATATAAGAAATTACATTCTAAACGTTTTGTTTATAAAAGGAATTGTTTGCCAATACCATAGACGAAAAAGGACAGGAAAATGAATTACGGCCTCTGGAAGATAGTGCCGGACAGGAGAATTTACCTGAACAGCCTGAAATCAACAAAGAGAAGAAAAAAAGGAGGAAGAAGAAAAAAACCAGAAGGAACATGGCTATGCACGGAAAAACAGGAAAAAAACAAAAGGAAAATATGGATTTAGACGAACAAAATGTTGTTGAAAACCTTAATGAACATATCGGAAGCAGATCTTCTAAAAAGGATGGAAAAGGAGAGGATCCGGCCCAAGATGCTCAAACAGAAAACATTGAAGAACAGAACAGAAACGAGCCGTCAGAAATGAGTGGAACACAAGAGAATCAAGCCAAAGTTGCTCAAACGAAAAAGCTTGATGAACATAACAGATATGCAATGTCTGAAATGGGTAGAACACTAGAGGATCCCGTTCAAGATGCTCAAACAGAAAACCGTGATGAACATTACGGAAACGAACCATCTGAAATGGACGGAACACTAGAGGAACCGGCTCAAGATGCTCAAACAGAAAAGCTTAATAAACATTATGGATACGCACCGTCTGAAATGGTTCGAACACTAAAGGATCCGGCTCAAGATGCTCAATCAGAAAACCTTGATGATTATAACGGAAACGCATCGTCTGAAATGGGTGGAACACGAGAGAATCTGGCCAAAGTTGCTCAAACAAAAAACCTTGGCAAATATTACGTCAACGCACCGTCTGAAATGGATGAAACACTGAAGGATCCGGCCCAAGATGCTCAAACAGGCCATAACAAAAGCACACCGTTAGAAATGAGTGGAACAGTAGAGACTCTAGTAAAAGTTGCTCAATCGGAAACGCTTGATGGACATAACGGAAACACATCGTCTGAAATAGATGGAACACTAGAGGATCGAGCCAAAGATGCTCAAAAAGAACAGCTTGGTGAACATAACGGAAACGCACCGTCTGAAATAGGTGGAACACTAGAGGATCCGGCTCAAGATGATCAAACAGAAAACCTTGATGAACATAACGGAAACGCATCGTCTGAAATAGGTGGCACACTAGAGGATCCGCCTCAAGATGCTCTAACAGAAAACCTTTGTGAACATAACGGAAACGCATCGTCTGAAATGGGTAGAACACGAGAGGATCCCGTTCAAGATTTTCAAATAGGAGAGCTTTATGAACATTACGGAAACGGACCATCTGAAATGGACGGACAACTAGAGGATCCGGCTCAAGATGCTCGAATAGAAAACCTTTGTGAACATAACGGAAACGTATCGTCTGAATTAGGTGGCACACTAGAGGATCGTCCTAAAGATGCTCTAACAGAAACCCTTTGTGAACATAACGGAAACGCAACGTCTGAGAAATGTGGCACACTAAAGGATCCGACCCAAGATGCTCAAACAGAAAGCCGTGTTAAACATAACGGCAACACACCGACTGAAATGGGTGGAACACTAGAGGACCCGGTTCAAGATGCTCAAACAGAAAACCTTGATGAACATAACGGAAACGCACCGTCTGAAATATGTGGCACACTAGAGGATCCGGCCAAAATCGCTCAATCGGAAAAGCCTGGGGAACATAACGGCAACACACCGACTGACATAGGTGGAACACAAGAGGAATCAGTTCAAGATTTTCAAATAGGAGAGCTTTATGAACATTACGGAAACGGACCATCTGAAATGGACGGAACACTAGAGGATCCGGCTCAAGATGATCAAACAGAAAACCTTGATGAACATAACGGAAACGCATCGTCTTAAATGGGTAGAACACGAGAGGATCCCGTTCAAGATTTTCAAATAGAAAACTGTGATGAACATTACGGAAACGCAACGTCTGAGATATGTGGCACACTAAAGGATCCGCCCCAAGATGCTCAAACAGAAAACTTTTGTGAACATAACGGAAACGCATCGTCTGAAATGAGTGGAACACGAGAGGATCTGGTCCAAGATGCTCAAACAGAAAACCGTGTTAAACATAACGGCAACACACCGACTGATATAGGTGGAACACAAGAGGAATCAGTTCAAGATTTTCAAATAGAAAGCCTTGATGAAAATTGCAGAAACGACACATCTGAAATGGATGGAACACTAGAGGATCCGACTCAAGATGCTCAAAAAGAACAGCTTGGTGAACATAACGGAAACGCACCGTCTGATATAGGTGGAACACTAGAGGATCCAGTTCAAGATTTTCAAATAGAAAACCGTGATGAACATTACGGAAACGGACCATCTAAAATGGACGGAACACTAGATCCGGCTCAAGATGCTCAAACAGGAAACCTTGATGAACATAACGGAGACGAACCGTCTGAAATATGTGGCACACTAGAGGATCCGCCCCAAGATGCTCAAACAGAAAACTTTTGTGAACATAACGAAAACGCATCGTCTGAAATGAGTGGAACACGAGAGGATCTGGTCCAAGATGCTCAAACAGAAAACCGTGTTGAAAATAACAAAAACGCACCGTCAGAAATGAATGGAACAGTAGAGAATCCAGCCAAAGTTGCTCAGACGGAAAAGCTTGATGAACATAACGGAAACGCATCGTCTGATATTAGTGTCACACTACAGGATCCGGCCAAAATCGCTCAATCGGAAAAGCCTGGTGAACATCACGGAAACGTACCGTCTGAAATAGGTGGGACACTAGAGGAAACAGTTCAGAATTTTCAATTGAATCACCTTGATGAACATTACGGAAACGCATCGTCTGAAATGATAGGAACACGAGAGGATCTGGTCCAAGTTGCTCCAACAAAAACCCTTGGCAAACATCACGACAACGCACCGTCTGAAATTGGTAGAACACTAAAGGATCCTCAAATACAAGAAGATTTGCCAACTACTGAACAAAACGATCAGCTCCACTTTTCTATAACACACGATCAAAAATTTGAAAATGTCAACGAGACATTTGAGTTTGATAAGAAAACACAGAAAGATAATATACTACCTGAAAAGGAAAATCTGGAACCCGACAAATGTAAACATGAGACTGAAAACAGTCAACCATTTGCAGAAGCGGCCAATGAAAAGTACTGCAAGGACAAATGCGAATTAACTAACAGTTTTCTATCGGAGGACATAGCAATAGATGAACAACAGTCGATCGCCACAACACTGCCACATCAGCCTTTGGAAATGATGAATGAAAACCCAACTGACCTCGAAAGAGGACTGTTTGAACTGACAGAAGAAGAAATCTGGGATGAATGTATGATCGGCTGCCGTACCTGCGGTTCTTCCAATTCAGTTAAACGTGGTATATATTTTTCTATAAAATCTACTATATACACTAGTTTTCAGGCAATATAAAACATCGATAATATCCATTGATCATTTTTACGGCTTTAACATTTTAAAATAGGCTGCTTAGAGTATGAGAATTTGAGATAAATGCGCTCTGTTGATTGATAAATTATCGCATTCCTAGTAACAGGATTTCAGCGCCGCACTGCTTTATGCACATTGTGTGTTATATCGCTGATGGCGGTTTTACAGGTGATCGATCTTGCATATCAGGTAGCATATCTACAAACGCTTGGTTATGCCTCCATAGTATGTATGGGTAGCATGATCTCTATCCTATTTTGCTATCATCTTAGTTTCTGTTGTTGTCTTACCGTTTCCAATTTGTTCAATTAAATCAACACATAGTACTTACACGTGACCATTGCTGTTTCAACATGATCAACAACAAACGAACAGCTACGCCTTTTGTAATTCAGACGGAATGATGCGCAGGTTTACTCTGACATATTTTTGTTGATAGGGAAGCACACTCGCAGGAAGTTACTGATCATCGCTCTTCCACCAGTACTTGTGGTTCACATCAACAAGATGGAAAAGGTAAAACAAGTCATATGCTCTTTCCTCTCTTGAACCTAGCAATTACTCTCATAGAGAATCAATCTTCTGGTTCGATGACAGTAGGTAATTGGCAATTAAATACAATAATATGTTCATAACTTTCGTAATAATAATGACAGACTGGTGATGGTTTTACTGTTAAGGCTGGGATTTGATTTAGCATTAATCTAACACTTACTCATTCACTGTTACAGGATGGCTATGGGGGATTACGGAAGGTAACCAAGAGAGTGACATATCCAAAGTATCTAAACATGGCACCATTTTGTTCTTCCGCTCTCCAGATGGTTGAGGTAAATAAAAAAATGTGTTAATTATTAACAAAATGTAAGTTTGAAGACAACGCATTTCATAAGGTTTTAATAAGGATGCAATGCCAACAAATATGAATTGATATGATAAACTTCAAAACATGGATTTGATCGAATGATTCAAATTTTATTCCCGTTTTATTTCGCTGTATAATGATCATGGTTATCCTTCTAATTTGTAACACTCTTTCTGATTATATATCTGGCTCTGTCAAAGTCTATAAAAGCACGTGCAAGGGGAAATAACTAAAACTAGAATCTCTCTTCATAACAACAAAGATGGCTCCGGCATGCACACACACGCGTTTGAGGGGTGTCGATCATTCACAGGATGAAATAGCCTACTTAATTGACAGCAAACTCAGTGAAACAGGCAATAATGGGGCCGCTATGGTGCTTATTTCAAAGATGGTTGTGTAGTGTCCGAAATATTGCCGAAAAAAGTGTCCGGTAGGGGCTATTTTGGTCAAGTACAACTTAAACTAAAAAGGTGACATATAGCTTTGCAGAAAAAAAGGAATAAAAGATGTTCAGGGTGACAAATTCGTTACCTCTTGGTTAGGAGGGGTCTACGGGCTCATAGACCCCGTCTGGATTTTATAGAACTCGAGCTTTCCCGCTGTAAGATATCGGCGAATTCCCGGTTAAAGCTACATGTATTTTATGACGTCACGTCGACAATTGCATTTAGGCGGTAGCGTCAACATTGCATTATGTCAGTTTTATTAGGGTAAGAGAAAACATCAGTGACTCGCTTGAAGGTGTAGGTGGGGTGTCAGACTTTAAAGTGACCACATACTCACCTGTCCTCGTGTTTGACAACTGATTGAGATTCTCCTATAGTATCCCCAAGAGGGTTATATATTATATTAGTTTTAAACATGATTTTTACTACATGACCCAGGTGGCCGAATTTATTCATGATACATGAATATGTCTTTGCGAGCGTAACCACTGTCGTAAAAAATATAATAATATACTGTCTATTTATATCAGGTTGGAAACACCTCTGCGCGTACCTGGTTCAGATTGTATGGAGTGGTGAGTCACGGTGGATCAATCCACGGCGGTCATTACACTGCCTTCGTCAGAGTTAGTCACCAGAATGCATCTTCTCTTCATGACAACTTCCTCCTGACTGAGTGGACGGACCCAGAACGAGTAGAGACTGACATCAAGAAGTTTTGGCAGGAGAGTTCTCACAGTCAGAGTATGTCCCCGACAGTAGCACCTGAGGATACAGCTGACGATGTCTGGTATCATATCAGTGACTCAATGGTTTGGACGAGTGATGAAGGAGCAGCTACAAACGATGGGGACGCCTACATACTGATGTATGAGAGGTGCGGCTAGATGACGGCTTTTATGGCATTGATAATGAAATATGCATTAGTGTGCATCACTGTCTGATTAAAAACAACATAATTGAAGACCACCTTTACGATAGAGTTCTGGTTTACGCGTTGCTATAGTCGTTGTCATAGACGCAGGTGTAGAAGCACAGAAGAGTTCTACCGACTCTGGAAACATTTAAACCGACATCACTATTCTCCTAGTACATCCCTGTGACCAATGTTAAAATTGTTTTGTAACAGGGAACTACCAACAATGCAAATATCTGAGTGCATCTAAATGTTTTTACGGCAAAGTGGCAATATAATGCATTCGTCATGCTTCACTTGATCTGTTGATTTTATCGAACTTATTTAAATAAATCAATAATATTGTTCAGATGCACTGTATATTTTGTATGCTTTAGACATTTTCTATTGGTTTTAATTGTTACATTCCACTGGTAAAATGTGTCATTCATTTTTCTACTATCAAATGATAATTATAAGTGCCATAGTAATGATGTGGATGTACCATATATCATTATTCATTGGTATGTTTTATCTAATTGACTTTTAATATTGTATATTAAATAATAAGCGTGTTTTTATTCCAGAATTGCCCTTAGAATGCTTAAATATCACAACATGTATTGCAAAATTATACAAACCAAATATAAAGATGTGTTTTTTTCTGACTGACAATATTGATAAAAAGTAAAACATTTATAGAGAAAGTCAATTATACTGTATATTTCTAAAGTAATTAATTATGTCAATGCATTAATCCTTTGTATTGTGTAAGCAGCCTGTCAAATATTAGTGTGTAGTTTATTTTGGAAGGTATTCGTGAAAACTTGTATGAGTTTTGGACCTATACCAAATTAATTGAATCATGCGCCTGACAAAAAGTTAAACTCGAGACATTGAGAACGGACTTGACATCTTGTCTCCCTAAGATTCCTCCGAACCATTGGAAACATGTGACATTGTATCGTATCACCAGGACAGGCAATGGAGCATCCGCTCGGTGTGACAGTTTGGTATACGCACTCTATACTAAACATACAACAATATCCATAAATAACGGGTACTGGTTCCTTTCTTTACGCTATAGAAGTTAATCATTACATTTTTTCAATGTTATGGAGAAAATATGTAATGTTTTGTTCATTAGGTACACCTGTTAACTTGTACACTTAGACATTGCGACAGCGGTCTAAGGGAGATAATTTGTAAAAAAAACTCCCTTGTGTCTTCACTGAACTTTCATAGTCTTCCTCTCTGTCATGGTAGATGCGTTTCCAATACAAGACTTACAATGCTTGCTTTGAATTCCAGTAGAGGCTACTTTCATCTTTATGCTGCATGCGTTTTGTTGCAGAAAGAAATACAAGGAAACAATAGTCATTGCTTGATGATTTTTATGTATTTATATATATTTCTTACGGAATTTGTCCGTGTTTCCTATATGTTTAACGACAAGGAAATTGTTGTCTTTTAAAAGTCCACTATGCATTTTCATATTCTTTCAAAATTATACATTAATTATCTAAAACTGATTGCTAATTATTATTTTGTGAGTGACATTTTTTATTACATACATAATTTGTAAACAAGGGTATGGATATTTACACTTTCAAGTGATACAGACTGTTAATCGCAAACGATGCGGTTCTTGTGAATTATTTAAATAATTAATTTCTGAATAAATATTTAAACGAAATATCCAAGTAAAACCTATTAATCCCGTACTCATGTACAGACTAATTTAAGGAGAGACCTTCGGACCAATTTGATGATTTATTATACAACGAGTAAATAAGATAAATCTATTTTCGCATGTAACAAAAACTGTACATGTAAATCACCTGTTTACAATACAAGCTACATGTTTATAGTTTTAAGAACTAACAACATGTTTATTGTTTACATTACCAACTCAATGTATTTCATAACTCTGAAAAGTCTTCTAAGGGAAACATGCCTTTAAAGATTTTCACAGAAAGTTACTTATTCAGAACTTTTGTGCTTCCGCTCTTCTTTAGTCGCGTTGAGGAAAACCTTTTCAGAGTCTATGTGATGTCCATTTTGATTGACTGCATACCTGCATACACATTATTTGATGACGTCATTCATAATATGACGTCGTAGATACGAGACTTCCCTGCAGCATAGGTGTTTCATTTTCTCAGTCAAATCTATCCTACAATTGATCCCAAATTACAATGTATTTGTTCTCATTCGACTGTTGAAGGCAGGAGCTCGAAAATTCTCAATGATTAAGTAAATATATATATATTTATATTATAAAAAGAAAAACGAGTCTTTAGTACTTTCAACTTTTCTAGGAGATTCTTCAGACTATATATTTATATATATACAGCACTAACTACAGGTATATGGTTTCAGACTATATATATATACAGCACTAACTACAGGTATATATATATATGGTTTTCAATGCTAACTTTCATGGTTTTGGTTTTAGTTTTTGTCATATAGTTGCTTCTTTGTTAATAAAGAATGTTATTATTGTGTAAGGGGACCTACCACATCGTCATGGTAACTGTACCTACCACATCGTCATGGTAACTGTACCTACCACATCGTCATGGTAACTGTACCTACCACATCGTCATGGTAACTGTACCTACCACATCGTCATGGTAACTGTACCAACCACATCGTCATGATAACTGTTTACCCAGACTATTGATATCAATTCACTTATTGTGTATTCTTAATTACAATATTTAATAATCTGCATAATGTTGAATTAAAATATATTAATATGAAAATAATTGAGTTGGTTTGCTCTGTATATTTTCTCTCAACATAGAGTATTAATAAACTGTACTAATATAAAACTATACCTGTGGTATTATTAGTTTGTAGTATTGGTATTATAAGTTTGTAGTATTGGTATTATAAGTTTGGAGTATATTGGTATTATAAGATTGTTGTATATTGTGGTATTATAAGTTTGCAGTATATTGGTATTATAAGTTTGTAGTATTGGTATTATAAGTTTGAAGTATATTGGTATTATAAGATTGTTGTATATCGGTATTATAAGATTGTTGTATATTGGTATTATAAGTTTGCAGTATATTGGTATTATAAGTTTGTAGTGTTGGTATTATAAGTTTGAAGTATATTGGTATTATAAGATTGTTGTATATCGGTATTATAAGATTGTTGTATATTGGTATTATAATTTTGTAGTATATTGGTATTATAAGATTGTTGTATATTGTGGTATTATAAGTTCGCAGTATATTGGTATTATAAGTTTGTAGTATTGGTATTATAAGTGTGTGGTATATTGGTATTAAAAGTTTGTAGTATACTGGTATTATAAGATTGTTATTGTGGTATTATAGAGTACAGATACCATACGTTTTTGGTATGTAATACGGGTATACACACATTTAATGTACGGACATTTAATCAATAAGCAGGTTTATTTAACATGGGAACAGATAACATTTCCTATACTTTGATTTTGTAGATCTAATCAAACTTAATCGCTAATATTTGAGAGAGAGAGAGAGAGAGAGAGAGAGAGAGAGAGAGAGAGAGAGAGNATATTGGTATTAAAAGAGAGAGAGAGAGATCTTAGTAGAAATTAGGACGTGATTATTGGTGTAATTATGACTTTCTTTGGTGTCCAAAAATCCTTTTAGTTTCCCGGTTAAAAACGGTATTTTACAGACTTCAGGACTTGAAAAAAAATACAAAATCTTAACAACAGTCATGCTGTGTCGGTTGTAAGTAACCTTCCGCTGTAAACCTGTGAGAACTAGGGTACTTGGGGGATGGTAAGGGAGATATGTAACAATGCTCAGGAAATATGACCCGAATCCGTAGGTGATGAATATAGATAACGATACGGGCGTGGTGTGGACAGATACACTTACCCAACACCTTATCGTGTTCAGCCGTGTTACATCACCACCCGTCAATATCTCTATACGTGGCGAGGATCACTGGCTTTTACAGGAAACTATATGATATATTATACCCGAACACGCCCACATCACATTGGCTGTTAACAGTGCGGTAGTACATATTACTAAAAATACTGAAATCAGTACATCATATAACGACATCAGTTCATCATATAACGACATCAGTACATCATATAATGACATCAGTACACCATATAACGACATCAGTACAATATATAACGACATCAGTACATCATATAATGATATCAGTACATCATATAACAATATCAGTACATCATATAACGACATCAGTACATCATATAACGACATCAGTACATCATGTAACGATATCAGTCCATCATATAATGACATCAGTACATCATAAAATGACATCAGTACATCATATAATGACATCAGTACATCATATAACGACATCAGTACAATATATAACGACATCAGTACATCATGTAATGACATCAGTACATCATATAATGACATCAGTACATCATATAACGACATCAGTACATCATATAATGACATCAGTACATCATATAACGACATCAGTACATCATATAACGACATCAGTACATCATATAACGACATCAGTACATCATATAACGACATCAGTACATCATATAACGACATCAGTACATCATATAACGACATCAGTACATCATATAACGACATCAGTACATCATATAACGACATCAGTACATCATATAACGACATCAGTACATCATATAACGACATCAGTACATCATATAACGACATCAGTACATCATATAACGACATCAGTACATCATATAACGACATCAGTACATCATATAACGACATCAGTACATCATATAACGACATCAGTACATCATATAACGACATCAGTACATCATATAACGACATCAGTACATCATATAACGACATCAGTACATCATATAACGACATCAGTACATCATATAACGACATCAGTACATCATATAACGACATCAGTACATCATATAACGACATCAGTACATCATATAACGACATCAGTACATCATATAACGACATCAGTACATCATATAACGACATCAGTACATCATATAACGACATCAGTACATCATATAACGACATCAGTACATCATATAACGACATCAGTACATCATATAACGACATCAGTACATCATATAACGACATCAGTACATCATATAACGACATCAGTACATCATATAACGACATCAGTACATCATATAACGACATCAGTACATCATATAACGACATCAGTACATCATATAACGACATCAGTACATCATATAACGACATCAGTACATCATATAACGACATCAGTACATCATATAACGACATCAGTACATCATATAACGACATCAGTACATCATATAACGACATCAGTACATCATATAACGACATCAGTACATCATATAACGACATCAGTACATCATATAACGACATCAGTACATCATATAACGACATCAGTACATCATATAACGACATCAGTACATCATATAACGACATCAGTACATCATATAACGACATCAGTACATCATATAACGACATCAGTACATCATATAACGACATCAGTACATCATATAACGACATCAGTACATCATATAACGACATCAGTACATCATATAACGACATCAGTACATCATATAACGACATCAGTACATCATATAACGACATCAGTACATCATATAACGACATCAGTACATCATATAACGACATCAGTACATCATATAACGACATCAGTACATCATATAACGACATCAGTACATCATATAACGACATCAGTACATCATATAACGACATCAGTACATCATATAACGACATCAGTACATCATATAACGACATCAGTACATCATATAACGACATCAGTACATCATATAACGACATCAGTACATCATATAACGACATCAGTACATCATATAACGACATCAGTACATCATATAACGACATCAGTACATCATATAACGACATCAGTACATCATATAACGACATCAGTACATCATATAACGACATCAGTACATCATATAACGACATCAGTACATCATATAACGACATCAGTACATCATATAACGACATCAGTACATCATATAACGACATCAGTACATCATATAACGACATCAGTACATCATATAACGACATCAGTACATCATATAACGACATCAGTACATCATATAACGACATCAGTACATCATATAACGACATCAGTACATCATATAACGACATCAGTACATCATATAACGACATCAGTACATCATATAACGACATCAGTACATCATATAACGACATCAGTACATCATATAACGACATCAGTACATCATATAACGACATCAGTACATCATATAACGACATCAGTACATCATATAACGACATCAGTACATCATATAACGACATCAGTACATCATATAACGACATCAGTACATCATATAACGACATCAGTACATCATATAACGACATCAGTACATCATATAACGACATCAGTACATCATATAACGACATCAGTACATCATATAACGACATCAGTACATCATATAACGACATCAGTACATCATATAACGACATCAGTACATCATATAACGACATCAGTACATCATATAACGACATCAGTACATCATATAACGACATCAGTACATCATATAACGACATCAGTACATCATATAACGACATCAGTACATCATATAACGACATCAGTACATCATATAACGACATCAGTACATCATATAACGACATCAGTACATCATATAACGACATCAGTACATCATATAACGACATCAGTACATCATATAACGACATCAGTACATCATATAACGACATCAGTACATCATATAACGACATCAGTACATCATATAACGACATCAGTACATCATATAACGACATCAGTACATCATATAACGACATCAGTACATCATATAACGACATCAGTACATCATATAACGACATCAGTACATCATATAACGACATCAGTACATCATATAACGACATCAGTACATCATATAACGACATCAGTACATCATATAACGACATCAGTACATCATATAACGACATCAGTACATCATATAATGACATCAGTACATCATATAACGACATCAGTACATCATATAACGACATCAGTACATCATATAACGACATCAGTACATCATATAACGACATCAGTACATCATATAACGACATCAGTACATCATATAACGACATCAGTACATCATATAACGACATCAGTACATCATATAACGACATCAGTACATCATATAACGACATCAGTACATCATATAACGACATCAGTACATCATATAACGACATCAGTACATCATATAACGACATCAGTACATCATATAACGACATCAGTACATCATATAACGACATCAGTACATCATATAACGACATCAGTACATCATATAACGACATCAGTACATCATATAACGACATCAGTACATCATATAACGACATCAGTACATCATATAACGACATCAGTACATCATATAACGACATCAGTACATCATATAACGACATCAGTACATCATATAACGACATCAGTACATCATATAACGACATCAGTACATCATATAACGACATCAGTACATCATATAACGACATCAGTACATCATATAACGACATCAGTACATCATATAACGACATCAGTACATCATATAACGACATCAGTACATCATATAACGACATCAGTACATCATATAACGACATCAGTACATCATATAACGACATCAGTACATCATATAACGACATCAGTACATCATATAACGACATCAGTACATCATATAACGACATCAGTACATCATATAACGACATCAGTACATCATATAATGACATCAGTACATCATATAATGACATCAGTACATCATATAATGACATCAGTACATCATATAATGACATCAGTACATCATATAACGACATCAGTACATCATATAATGACATCAGTACATCATATAACGACATCAGTACATCATATAACGACTGCTTTGTCGTCCTATTGTAAAAAGTACCGACAACAGTCGATAGTATATCCTCCTCTCTGTAATTCGTTAAACGTAATCACGCCAAACCTATCCTACCCTCTATTGTTATTTATATGCACGCTTCTGGTTGCTAAATTTAACCCTTGGTTTTTACCAACCGTTTTTATCCCGAACACTTTCTCCTGATAATAGTATTACAATAAATGTTTCTTTTTGTTTCCATTTTCGGCATATACACCACTGTCCCTAGACGTATGTTTTATCGGAATACTGTTGTAGGCAAACGACAAGTTGGGAAATTCCTTAGGTCTGATTCTACTGTGTATTAAAGAAAAAAATATGCTGTATTTAATCTGATCACACATACGAAGAAAATACAGTAAATCTTATGTTGCAATCGTGAAGACACAAACTTCGGCTCAACGGGGAAATCAATTGTTTATATAGACAACCCTATAGCATTCGTCCTTGACCTTACATAACATAGATACAATACTTAGAATAGCATACCACCGTCAACATTCCGGGAATGGCAAGATGACGTAAAACAACTAAATCCTCATCACATCTAATGAAGTTGCGGTAAAGATCTTTTTTCAGGAGGTAAAGAACTGTCATTCGATTTTCGATTTTTGATTTCTTTTAGATAATAATGCTGACTAATCAAATGTCTACTTTCGATTTCCATTCATGTGTTATAAGTAGGATATACCAACAAGTTATATTTGTATACAGCCAATGTAAAACCATGTACACTTAACTGTGTGTGAACAGGTTGTGTCTTTGTTGTAATATAGAACTTTGTAACTTCAAACTTCAGTAGTGATTGCATGGTGTGATGGTACAGAAATCAGGTAAATACAGTTTGTAGTATTGCTCAGTATACCGTTAGCGTATTGATAGTGTAAAAATGGGTTGATCGATATACTCATTTCACGGTCCTCCACATACTGATAATTAATTATACATTTTTGAACAAGAAAGCATTTATTGTACGTGTAAACAGTATGATATCTATCTTGGATTCTTTTACTTTCGGTTTCAGTTTGTTACATAAACACGGAAGTTGCAAAAAAAGTTAAATTTAACTGGCGAACATTGAGGTTGTATAAAGAAACAATATTAAATTGGATTTTGAAATGTCACGTCTTGTAATGTGATGGATGTCAGGGCTATTTTATACTAGCATTATAATTTTCTCTTTTTCCCTGATAAACACCGTTGGGTAAATCACTCCTTCTACATATGTATGTACTAGCAGTGAACGAAAAGCTTTTTTTGTGACGATGCAGCGAAAGCTGATTAAAGTAATCTACTTTATTTATAAGCTGAGAACACACAGCTATTATAATATGTATAAGTTTGGGTAGCGAGTTTTTATATTCAAGTCAACATACAGTATACCAATAACACTATAGTAAAATACGTTTGATATTTATCAAAGGTGTCTCGAGTTCCAAGATGACAAGTTTTATCAAACCTTTCAAAAGTGTCAAATCGAAGTTATCAAGACGATGGACGGTAAGTGATCAGCCTTAATTAACACGATTAAAGAACATATAACTGTTATTTTTTTTTATTGTAAACAGTCAAGGTGATTCTGCAAAGGGATAGGTTTGAGAAAGAATGGAGAAAATGGATAAAAAATATTAGACTCTCTCTCTCTCTCTCTCTCTCTCTCTCTCTCTTATTTTGCTTTCTTTCTCACCCCCTTTATTTTTTTCTTATTCTTCTCTCGACCCTGTGATTCTATTTTGTCTATGGTGTGTGTGTGTGTAAGATTGAGTGTATGTTTCAGTATAAAATGATATACTATGTGAAGTATGTTGTTTTCGGCAGAGCATGGGTGTGATAGACTATCTATGATTATGATAATGATGATGTTTGTAACTATGCACAGATGATGAATACGATACTCATCATGTATAGATTATGATGATGATGATGTTTGACATTATACATAGAGGAGAATGATGAATACGATGCTCATCATGTATAGATTATGATGATGATGTTGATATTCGTCATTGTATATAAATTTGATTATGATGCCGGTAAAAGTGTATAGGTGATGTTATGATGATGTGCCATCGCTTATATATAACGATGATGATTATGATGATGTTTGTCACTGTGTATGGACGATGATAATGATAATGATTGTACATTATAAAATGATGATGATGATGATGATGATGATGATGATGATGATGATGATGATGATGATGATGATGATGATGATGATGATGATGATGACGATTGTCAATGTGTATGGACGATGATGATGATTATGATTGTATAGAGGATGATGATGATGATGATGATGATGATGATGATGATGATGATGATGATGATGATGATGGATGATGATGATGATGATTATGATTATGATTGTATAGAGGATGATGATGATGAGGATGAGGATGATAAGGACGATGCTTTTCAATGATGATGATTGAGAAACGCATGTTTCTGTCTACAAGTGAGAGTTTGTGTGTAATGTCTGTTTGATGTAGATGTAACAAAAAACTTGAAAAAATAAACAATATAAAAAAAAAATCACCAAAACAGTGATCAGCTTTACTAATGAAATTACGAAGTTGCAAATTCATACAAGTTACATATTTATAAAGTATAAATATTTTGTTCAAAATAGTTCAAAAGTCAAATGTTAAAGTTTAAATACATTTTTGTCTCAACTCTATGCACGTGTATACATTTTAGGTTTTTTGGGAAAATGATGTTCAAGCCAAACACAGTTCAGACGTTCCAGAGGTAAGTTTACCATTAAAAGAAAACAGAAATTGAAGTACTGTGCATTTTAGCAATGGGGTTTCAAATTTACAAAGCCTATGATATTAATGACGAACGAACAAGAATTTACGGTATGTCTTCGCCGGTGTATTAAATAGCCTCTTCGTTGCTTCAATATATATATGCGGATCATATTCATGCACAAATTATTTTTTTATATTATATTATATATGTATATCGTTTCTGTAAGAAAACCTTCCTCCATATAAAATATGAAATGTGTTTATGATAATATAAAACATGTACTTTTCCAGGGAATCCCAAACATTGGTAATACGTGTTATATCAACGCCGTGCTTCAGGTAGGTAGTAGTACCGGTCAGCTGTTGTGAGGTAAGTAATAGTACCGGTCAGCTGTTGTGAGGTAGATAGTACTTCCGGTCAGGTAAATAGTAGTAACGGTCAGCTGTTGTCGGGTAGGTAGTACTTCCTGTCAGCTGTTGTTAGGTAAGAAGTAGTACCGCTCAGCTGTTGTAAATAGTACTTCTGGTCAACTGTTATCAGGTAAGTAGTAGTACCGGTCAGCTGTTGTAAATAGAATTTCCGGTCTGCTGTTATCATATAAGTAAAAGTACCGGTCAACTGTTGTCCGGTAAATAGAACTTTGGGTCAGTTGTTGTCAGGTAAACAGTAGTCCCGGTCGGCTGTTTTCAAGTAAATAGTACTTCAGGTCAGCTGTTGTAAGGTAAATAGTAGTACCGGTTAGCTGTTGTCAGGTAAATAGTAGTACTACTGGTCATCTATTGTCAGGTAATAGCAGTACCGGTCAGCTGTTGGCGAGTAAAAAGTACAGTAAATACCGGACAGTTATGGTCATTTGAATAAAACTACTAGTCAGCTATTGTTTGGAAAAATAGAAGGACCGACCAGCTTTTGGTTGGTAAGTATATATACATATTATGTTGCATATATTTTCTCTTGTGTACACGTCATCATGCCAATATCTCTGCTGCGGAGAAACAAGTAAATGTATAAGTTCACTAAGGATTAAATAGTGTTTTTAGGCAGGAGGGGAAGCTTCAATATGACGCTTATCAAATTGCGTTCATAGATGTATAAACGAAATTTCTTCTGAAAATGCTTATAGAGGACCTTGCAGTGGAAATGTAAATAAAGGGTTGTAACTGAAGTCTGGACAGAGTTCATCTTTGACATGTATTGGTCAGTAATGTTAGCCGACACGATTGCGTTACAGGTCTTGAAGTGGACCCCTTGTTTTCTGTCGAGACTTGATACCTGCGACACTGACGAATCTGTGAGTTTTAGACATACATTGCAAATATATTCGGCCTCCTTAGTATATAGTCTCAACTCTCGATACCTTTACTTTTAGATTGAATATATAAATGTATTCACTATATATACTCTTTTTATAAATGCGGAAAAAGTGACTACTCCTCCGGAACACCTAAAATCATAAATATCATTGTAGTTGGTCAAGGACTCCATGTTAATTTTCCCTTTGTTCATATTTTGCCCGTATTTTATCGATTTTTAGTTGTTATTGGGGTTTTATTGACACTTCAGTATTTCTTTTTATTTCTTTTTAAGGTTTTATTATAGAACAGATAGCATGACCTATGAACTTTTCAGAAAACAGCTAAATAGTTCCGTTAGTAAACGAGTAAAACGGAAAAGTTCCGTCACTAAATAAAAATGTATTTTACATAAAATTAACTTTATTGGTATCTATGTGGAAAAAACATAAATAGCATTGGTTTTTACAAAAGGTAGTAGCGAGGAGTTACATGAAAATATCATTTTCTTGCATACTAGACCGAGATATCCGCATTTCCGGCGGTACTGGGAAAATTATATCCTACCCACGGGTCTGGATCGCTTACACGCGCAGGCAATGTAGCCAATAAGCAAGAAATAGAATCCATCCCTGATGAGAGGTATGGATAAGGTAATTCAAACCCTCGGGATAAAATATTGAGCAAAAGACCCTCGGCAAAGCCTCGGTCCTTCTGCACAATATTTTATCCCTAAGGTTTGAATTCTCTTAGTCTGTGGTCACTAGTGTTACTAGTTTTACCCAAGAAAATCCTCAAATGTCTTTGGTTTCACGTATTATGTAACGTTAGTAAACTCACATTGCTATATCTGTTATCAGTACGAATACATTATACTAATGATTGAATATTGTTCTTTACTTAAACGGGAACCCAGGAAGGGAATCTATTTTCGGTTGGATATTGAATACAGTAGAGCGAATTGAGAGTTAAATTGAGAGTATAGGTAAGGTAGAAAGGTGTTTTATATTATCTATTTCATACAGAAACAGGTAGCCTCATGTTTAAAAGCAGCTATGACCGGTACCGACAAAACAAAACGGAAGTCAACATTGAAATCACTTGGAACATTGATTGGGTAAGTGATTCTAAAGTTATGCTTGGAAATATTTAGTATCTGGTCCAAGATGTGAATAAGAGTCACGTGTTTTTTCAGACGTATGCAACGGTTGTATGACCTGGTAGATATCTGATTGTTATTATAAACGTTTTGAATTAGTACTTTTTCCTTTCTAGTCGGAACACTCTCGGCTCGGGAACACCTGAAGACTGTTTTGAATTGTATAGTGCACTTCTTGAGAGCCTCCACACAAGCAAAGACGGTAGGTCTCTTATATAATTGCAAATTATATAGATTGTGTATGATCGACGGTGCTAATCATCAACGATTTCATATGGAATTATCTACATGATAAAGACTTCCTCACATCTATACTACGTATCACAACGTTCACCTCAGCGTTATACAGACGTCCATTTACATCATACTGTGGTTTGTGTGACCATACAAGCACGGCCAGTTTATTACAGCTGTTTAACAGCGAGTGAATCTATAACCCAGACTAAATATAAACGATGATATACACCTTTGTCACACTTCTATCTCTCATACAATGTGATATACATTTGCCCTTGTGATACTATAAGACTCTTTCCTATGCTAGAGAATTCCTCCCGAGGGGATCATAAATTGGGGTTACAACCCGAGGCTTTACCTCAACTATATGCTCCCGAGGGAGGAGTTCTCTATCCACCTATCGTTACATATGGAAGAGTATTTTTCTCTCATATCTACCATTAACAAACATGTACTTCACCTCTCAATGCCCAAAGTCGGTCGCCATCTTCCAGTTTTTTTTTAAATACTTTCTCCATGGTTTAAACAGAACAGCAGTAGAAAAGAATTCCCCATACCCTCAAACCGGAACTTCGTTGCACGAATAAAAACAACTCATTTCCATGATAACTCTATGGTTTAGTTGTTATTCAACTTTCTATTTTTCATACGGCATTTTCTAAGCGCCATCTTTGTACCTCATCGCTACGTCGACTAGTCTCGTTCAAACAGATTCTTGTTGCCTGCGCAAGCTACGCCGAACAGAGCGTCTGGTTGAACGAGACTAGTAAACAACAAAGTGCAAGTTCCTTCCTCGTCACGCTTGTCACCATGTCTTGTGTGTCTAAATCATAAACCGGAATACCGTAGTCACCCGTGTGCGCAGAGAAATATAATTCCTAGTTGAAAATAGAAAACAAAGACGAAACTTATGATTATGATGATTACTCAGTAGCGGAAATAGTAAAACCACGTGTCTTTGTTTGTGTTTACGGTACAAACACTTGTAGCAGACGACGTAAGTTGATGACATTGGGAGTTGCTCCCCTTACTACACGATGTGATTAGCCTGACTCGGCAAGCATGGTCAACGTTATCAAACATGACAGGATATGAAAGAAATATGTTGTTAGCGTTGTCATACCAGTGCCCTGGCTGATAAATAGTTTTTATACCAACCCGGGCCGATAACTAGATATCAGCCCGGGCCTATAAATAGTTAACAGCCCGGGCTGATATCACTTCATCCGGGTTCTTCACTCCGGATTTTGTTTTTATGTTTAGACGCTTCCTGGCAAAGACGATAACAAAAAAACAATAATTGTTAAATTAATCTATTTTTGTTTTGTTTTTCAAAATGTATGATAAATAGGTTATGATATGACTATTTTGATATCAGACCCTTTATCAGCCTTCGGGCTGATATCAAGGTATCGGGCTGAGAAAGGGTGTGACATTAAAATAGTCATGTAATAACCTCTAATTACTGCATTCGTGGAAAGAACACTAGGTGCCTCATCAGTAAAGGCTGTGTAAGGGAGGCGTGGATAATGCTACAGAACAAGGAGATATCTATTACCAGCTCATTCTAAAGTCCCTCCTATAACAATGCAAGTTTGATCAAATGAAGTTCGCTATAACAGCCGATGCAAAACACTTACTGTACTCCTTATTGTAGACGTCTTGATATGCCTATAGGTAAGTTAGTGATTGATCTAACAAAAAATAGATCCTAGAGATCGCAGTTATGTAAAATATGCCCTTCCACTGACAGTAAAGAAACTATTCTAGAGGAAAATAGTACATCCATGACTAGTCAAACAATGACGTCATTACTTGTTTTTGTACATTTTTTAATAACTATCACGTTGACATTGCCAATTATTTGTTTAATTTTAATTCGATGATCATTGATACTATATGAATGGTTATTTCAGGATTTTGAGCGACGTCATTACTTGGGCAATTTGTTGCAATTGACGGCAATATTCCTCTCTAACGATAATTCAACCGAGGACTGATTATATACTTATATTCAACAACAGTCCTCATGTTGTATGAAATAATGAAAAGATATGTATGTAATGTCCAGTTATCAATGATACATATCTTAGGCATACAGACATTTGAGATGAGATATTGACAGGGCAAACTGTTATGTTTTGTCCTACAGAATATCCCGTTATTAGTGATACATATCTTAGGAATACAGACATTTGAGATGAGATATTGACAAGGTAAACTGTTATGTTTTGTCCTACAGAATGTACCGTTATTAGTGATACATATCTTAGGCATACAGACAATTGAGATGAGATATTGACAGGGTAAACTGTTATGATTTGTCCTACAGAATGTCCCGTTATTAGTGATACATATCTTAGGCATACAGACATTTGAGATGAGATATTGATAGGGTAAACTGTTATGTTTTGTCCTACAGAATGTCCCGCAAGGCTGTTCGAGGGTACTTTTCTTATTACATTCTGCTATGAGTCCTGTGGACATGTAAGTATACTATGATGCAACAATCGATAAAATGTTCATAACAGTTGAAAACAGAAGATGTTATAACAGTAATATATATCATCAGGTTTGAAAGTGCAGGAGTATTTAACATCTTAAATTTAAACTAATATTTATTTCTGATTGTCTTAGATTGAAAGACAACTGCAGACATTTACAAGCCTATCAATGCCTATGGTGGATGCTTTTGACAGTTTCAAACTAACAGTAGAAACTTCAGCCGTAGATTCCAAACTAACAAAAGAAACTACAGCCGTAGATTCCAAGCCAACAGTAGAAACTACAGCCGTAGATTCCAAGCCAACAGAGGAAACTTCAGCCGTAGATTTCAAGCCAACAGAGGAAACTACACCCGTAGATTCCAAGCAAACAGAGGAAACTACAGCCGTAGATTCCAAGCCAACAGAGGAAACTACAGCCGTAGATTCCAACCCAACAGAGGAAAATACACCCGTAGATTCCAAGCCAACAGTAGAAACTACACCCGTAGATTCCAAGCCAACAGTAGAAACTACACCCGTAGATTCCAAGCTAACAGTAGAAACTACAGCTGCAGATTCCAAGCTAACAGAAGTAACTACACCCGTAGATTCCAAGCTAACAGTAGAAACTACACCCGTAGATTCCAAGCTAACAGTAGAAACTACACCCGTAGATTCCAAGCCAACAGAGGAAACTACAGCCGTAGATTCCAAGCCAACAGAGGAAACTTCAGTCGTAGATTCCAAGCCAACAAAGGAAACTTCAGCTGTAGATTCCAAGCAAACAAAGGAAACTTCAGCTGTAGATTCCAAGCTAACAGTAGAAACTACAGCCTTAGATTCCAAACCAACAGAGGAAACTTCAGCCGTAGATTCCAAGCCAACAGAGGAAACTACACCCGTAGATTCCAAGCCAACGGTAGAAACTACACCCGTAGATTCCAAGCCAACAGAGGAAACTACAGCCGTAGATTCCAAGCCAACAGAGGAAACTTCAGCTGTAGATTCCAAGCCAACAAAAGAAACTTCAGCTGTAGATTCCAAGCCAACAGAGGAAACTTCAGCCGTAGATTCCAAGCCAACAAAGGAAACTTCAGCTGTAGATTCCAAGCCAACAGAGGAAACTACAGCCGTAGATTCCAAGCCAACAGAGGAAACTTCAGCTGTAGATTCCAAGCTAACAGTAGAAACTACAGCTGTAGATTCCAAGCAAACAAAGGAAACTTCAGCCGTAGATTCCAAGCAAACAAAGGAAACTTCAGCTGTAGATTCCAAGACAACAGAGGAAACTACAGCCGTAGATTCCAATCTAACAGTAGACACTACAGCCGTGGACTCCAAGCCAACAGTAGAAACTACACCCGTAGATTCCAAGCTAACAGTGGAAACTACACCAAGAATTGAGATATATAAAGATGAGAAAGAGGAGGAAACGGCGGAGAAAGAGTAGATTCCAAGCCAACAGAGGAAACTTCAGCTGTAGATTCCAAGACAACAGAGGAAACTACAGCCGTAGATGCCAAGCCAACAGAGGAAACTTCAGCCGTAGATTCCAAGCCAACAGAGGTAACTTCAGCTGTAGATTCCAAGCTAACAGTAGCAACTACAGCTGTAGATTCCAAGCAAACAGAGGAAACTACAGCCGTAGATTCCAAGCAAACAGAGGAAACTTCAGTCGTAGATTCCAAGCCAACAGAGGAAACTACACCCGTAGATTCCAAGCCAACAGAGGAAACTTCAGTCGTATATTCCAAGCCAACAGAGGAAACTTCAGCCGTAGATTCCAAGCCAACAGAAGAAACTTCAGCCGTAGATTCCAAGCAAACAAAGGAAACTACCCCCGTAGATTCCAAGCCAACAGAGGAAACTATAGCCGTAGATTCCAAGCCAACAGAGGTAACTTCAGCTGTAGATTCCAAGCTAACAGAGGAAACTACAGCCGTAGATGCCAAGCCAACAGAGGAAACTTCAGCCGTAGATTCTAAGCCAACAGAGGAAACTACACCCGTAGATTCCAAGCCAACAGAGGAAACTACAGCCGTAGATGCCAAGCCAACAGAGGAAACTTCAGCTGTAGATTCCAAGCTAACAGAGGAAACTACAGCCGTAGATTCCAAGCCAACAGTAGAAACTACAGCCGTAGATTCCAAGCTAACAGTAGAAAATACACCAAGAATTGAGATATATAAAGATGAGAAAGAGGAGGAAACGGCGGAGAAAGAGTAGATTCCAAGCCAACAGAGGAAACTTCAGCTGTAGATTCCAAGACAACAGAGGAAACTACAGCCGTAGATTCCAAGCTAACAGTAGAAAATACACCAAGAATTGAGATATATAAAGATGAGAAAGAGGAGGAAACGGCGGAGAAAGAGTAGATTCCAAGCCAACAGAGGAAACTATAGCCGTAGATTCCAAGCCAACAGAGGTAACTTCAGCTGTAGATTCCAAGCTAACAGAGGAAACTACAGCCGTAGATTCCAAGCAAACAGAGGAAACTTCAGTCGTAGATTCCAAGCAAACAAAGGAAACTACACCCGTAGATTCCAAGCCAACGGTAGAAACTACACCCGTAGATTCCAAGCCAACGGTAGAAACTACCCCCGTAGATTCCAAGCCAACAGAGGAAACTTCAGCCGTAGATTCCAAGCCAACAGAGGTAACTTCAGCTGTAGATTCCAAGCTAACAGTAGAAACTACACCCGTAGATTCCAAGCTAACAGTAGAAACTACACCAAGAATTGAGATATATAAAGATGAGAAAGAGGAGGAAACGGCGGAGAAAGAGGAAAAGATGGGAGAGGTAAATCTGGAAGAGAAGAAGGAAAGGATGGGAAAAGAGGAAGAGAATGACAACACAAATGAAGATATACAGGATATAGAAGAGGAGAGAGAGGAGAAAACAGGTAAAGGACAGTTACAGGACAGTAAGGATAAGGAGACATTGTACGAATTTCTCAAATATTTAAGCACACCTATGGGGAATAAGGTGGTTACTAATAAGTGTAGTATTGAAACGAGCCTTGAGACGTTCATATCTGCGGAATGCTACCCGGAAAGATCACTACAGTGTAGGAAGTGTGGTGTCCCAAACTCGTCAGCATTACCAGGTAAGAACACACAGTGTCTGCTGTTGCTTTCAGTAAATCATGGTTTTCCCAAGTTACGGATTTTGATCTGTCATTGAAAAGCTTTATGCATCAGGAGGAGATAGTAATTAACGATTGCATTGTTAAGTATCCATCCATAATTAGTATTACATAGGAAAAACGCTTCAAGTATGGGTTTGTAAAGCTGCATTAATCTCATATATCTGTTTTTTATCCATTGTCATATTGGAGACGCAGACGTTCGATCATAGAATACAAAACTTATTAACTGTAGTTTGTAAACAGTCTTTTTCTGTTGCTGTAAACGTTTACTTGAATTTCTGTAATTTTGCTATGTTCACCGCTGTATTATCTAGGCTATCACCGCTGTATTATCTAGGCTATCACCACTGTATTATCTAGGCTATCACTGCTGTATTATCTAGGTTATCACCGCTGTATTATCTAGGCTATCACCGCTGTATTATCTAGGCTATCAAAGCTGTATTATCTAGGTTATCACCGCTGTATTATCTAGGCTATTACCGCTGTATTATCAAGGCTATCACCGCTGTATTATCTAGGCTATCACCGCTGTATTATCTAGGCTATCACCGCTGTATTATCTAGGCTATCACCGCTGTATTATCTAGGCTATCACCGCTGTATTATCTAGGCTATCACCGCTGTATTATCTAGGCTATCACCGCTGTATTATCTAGGCTATCACCGCTGTATTATCTAGGCTATCACCGCTGTATTATCTAGGCTATCACCGCTGTATTATCTAGGCTATCACCGCTGTATTATCTAGGCTATCACCGCTGTATTATCTAGGCTATCACCGCTGTATTATCTAGGCTATCACCGCTGTATTATCTAGGCTATCACCGCTGTATTATCTAGGCTATCACCGCTGTATTATCTAGGCTATCACCGCTGTATTATCTAGGCTATCACCGCTGTATTATCTAGGCTATCACCGCTGTATTATCTAGGCTATCACCGCTGTATTATCTAGGCTATCACCGCTGTATTATCTAGGCTATCACCGCTGTATTATCTAGGCTATCACCGCTGTATTATCTAGGCTATCACCGCTGTATTATCTAGGCTATCACCGCTGTATTATCTAGGCTATCACCGCTGTATTATCTAGGCTATCACCGCTGTATTATCTAGGCTATCACCGCTGTATTATCTAGGCTATCACCGCTGTATTATCTAGGCTATCACCGCTGTATTATCTAGGCTATCACCGCTGTATTATCTAGGCTATCACCGCTGTATTATCTAGGCTATCACCGCTGTATTATCTAGGCTATCACCGCTGTATTATCTAGGCTATCACCGCTGTATTATCTAGGCTATCACCGCTGTATTATCTAGGCTATCACCGCTGTATTATCTAGGCTATCACCGCTGTATTATCTAGGCTATCACCGCTGTATTATCTAGGCTATCACCGCTGTATTATCTAGGCTATCACCGCTGTATTATCTAGGCTATCACCGCTGTATTATCTAGGCTATCACCGCTGTATTATCTAGGCTATCACCGCTGTATTATCTAGGCTATCACCGCTGTATTATCTAGGCTATCACCGCTGTATTATCTAGGCTATCACCGCTGTATTATCTAGGCTATCACCGCTGTATTATCTAGGCTATCACCGCTGTATTATCTAGGCTATCACCGCTGTATTATCTAGGCTATCACCGCTGTATTATCTAGGCTATCACCGCTGTATTATCTAGGCTATCACCGCTGTATTATCTAGGCTATCACCGCTGTATTATCTAGGCTATCACCGCTGTATTATCTAGGCTATCACCGCTGTATTATCTAGGCTATAACCGCTGTATTATCTAGGCTATCACCGCTGTATTATCTAGGCTATCACCGCTGTATTATCTAGGCTATCACCGCTGTATTATCTAGGCTATCACCGCTGTATTATCTAGGCTATCACCGCTGTATTATCTAGGCTATCACCGCTGTATTATCTAGGCTATCACCGCTGTATTATCTAGGCTATCACCGCTGTATTATCTAGGCTATCACCGCTGTATTATCTAGGCTATCACCGCTGTATTATCTAGGCTATCACCGCTGTATTATCTAGGCTATCACCGCTGTATTATCTAGGCTATCACCGCTGTATTATCTAGGCTATCACCGCTGTATTATCTAGGCTATCACCGCTGTATTATCTAGGCTATCACCGCTGTATTATCTAGGCTATCACCGCTGTATTATCTAGGCTATCACCGCTGTATTATCTAGGCTATCACCGCTGTATTATCTAGGCTATCACCGCTGTATTATCTAGGCTATCACCGCTGTATTATCTAGGCTATCACCGCTGTATTATCTAGGCTATCACCGCTGTATTATCTAGACTAACATCAAGCGTAACTGTTAATACTTATTTCATCTTTGTATCAATTTTTCACATGACATCGAGCCTGACTCACCAGCCATCACTAACCGGTATTCCAAAAATTATGGCATCACTAATCCGATTGTCCATCCATCCTTTATTGAGTCATCCGAGTGGTTACTAACGCAGTGTTACCACTATCCAAAACACATCACTACTCCGTTAATCCAACTTTCTAGCAAGTACGCTACTACATGATGTATCCCACCTGTCCTACTATTCCATCTGCATATAGGGAAACACTTTTCTCTATCTAAAATAAATTTCCTAAAAGACTAACCGTGTCCCAGTCTTCCAAAAAATGTAACTTAAATCGTATGTGGCATTCACTATTTGACGCACATTCACTATTTGACGCACATTCACTATTTGACGCACATTCACTATTTGACGCACATGCACATTCACTAATGCAGATGCAATATATATATATATGTTATAATCATACATACGTAATTGTGTACATGGATTGCAGACAATAGTCAAACTACGAAACGGATCCTGATAGCAGACCCTCCACCTATACTTGTCCTACAACTAAACAGAGTTCAGCAGGTATGGGTTTCTACTATTAAATCACTGAACAGAGTTCGGCAGGGATGGGGTTTCTTCTATTAAATCACTGAACAGAGTTCGGCTGGTATGGGGTTTCTACTATTAAATCACTGAACAGAGTTCGGCTGGTATGGGGGTTCTACTATTAAATCACTGAACAAAGTTCGGCAGGTATGGGGGTTCTACTATTAAATCACTGAACAAAGTTCGGCAGGTATGGGGGTTCTACTATTAAATCACTGAACAAAGTTCGGCAGGGATGGGGTTTCTACTATTAAATCACTGAACAGAGGTCGGCAGGTATGGGGTTTCTACTATTAAATCACTGAACAGAGGTCGGCAGGTATGGGGTTTCTTCTATTAAATCACTGAACAGAGTTCGGCAGGGATGGGGTTTCTTCTATTAAATCACTGAACAGAGTTCGGCATGGTACGAGTTCCTACTACTTACTTACTGAACAGGGGTCGGCAGGGGTGGGCCGGGGTTCCTACTACTTACTAAATGAACAGCGGTCGGTAGGTGTGGGCCGGTTATCCTGCTATTTACTAACTGAACAGGGGTCGGCAGGTGTGGACCGGGGTTCCTACTACTTACTTACTGAACAGGAGTCGGCAGGTGTGGGCCGGTTATTCTGCTATTTACTAACTGAACAGGGGTCGGCAGGTGTGGGCCGGGGGTCCTACTACTTACTTACTGAACAGGGGTCGGTAGTTGTGTGCCGGGGTTCCTACTACTTTCTTACTGAACAGGGGTCGGCAGGTGTGGGCCGGTTATTCTGCTATTTACTAACTGAACAGGGGTCGGCAGGTAAAATCACTGAACAGAGTTCGGCAGGTATGGGATTTCTACTATTAAATCACTGAACAGAGTTAGGCATGGTACGAGTTCCTACTACTTACTTACTGAACAGGGGTCGGCAGGGGTGGGCCGGTTATCCTGCTATTTACTAACTGAACAGGAGTCGGCAGGTGTGGGCTGGGGTTCCTAATTCTCACTAACTGAACAGGAGTCGGCAGGTGTGGGCCGGTTATTCTGCTATTTACTAACTGAACAGGGGTCGGCAGGTGTGGACCGGGGTTCCTACTACTTACTTACTGAACAGGGGTCGGTAGTTGTGGGCCGGGGTTCCTACTACTTACTAACTGAACAGGGGTCGGCAGGTGTGGGCCGGGGTTCCTACTACTTACTTACTGAACAGGGGTCGGCAGGTGTGGGCCGGGGTTCCTACTACTTACTTACTGAACAGGGGTCGGCAGGTGTGGGCCGGGGTTCCTACTACTTACTTACTGAACAGGGGTCGGCAGGTGTGGGCCGGGGTTCCTACTACTTACTTACTGAACAGGGGTCGGCAGGTGTGGGCCGGGGTTCCTACTACTTACTTACTGAACAGGGGTCGGCAGGTGTGGGCTGGGGTTCCTACTACTTACTAACTGTACATAGGTCGGCAGGTGTGGGCCGGTTATCCTGCTATTTACTAACTGAACAGGGGTCGGTAGTTGTGGGCCAGTGTTCTTACTGTTTAGTCATTTACTGGAGCTTTTCTGATATGGAATCCTACTATTAACCCTTATGGCATGCGAATCCTTCTTTCGAATTTGGTTAAAACCTTTATCTCTACCGAACAGAAAAGTAACCTTGGGCACAAGTAAACTGATTGGTTGGGTAACAGTGGAGAAATTTGGTACATTTATCATCTATATACTACTTAATTCATTATCATCGATGTCAGTTGATAACGACTTGAGAAGAACTTGAGAACGGATTTCCCCACTCCCCTGCACTTGGGAACATATTTTCTAAAACAAAGAAAGTCTGCTCGCGCCAGATGACGTCCGAAACCGGAAATAGTGTCCACACAAAAGTCATCCGCGTCAGAATACAGTTCGTCATAAACAAATCAATACAAAGGTACGGGAGAATATTGTGAGGGTAACAACATCATTTCAGGTGTAAATGTGCATATGGAAAAGGCAATGATGATAGGATTGTTTTTAAAATATATATTTTTTCTACGTAGTTTTAAGCTTCATTGAATTCCTCGGCGCAAAACTATTTGTTTACGTTTGTCACTGCCGATCGTTGACCATTGAGCTTAGAGGTCATTCGGAAAATAATGGTGTTTAGCTGACTTTTTCAAATGGAGAAATATATAAGGTAGTAGTATATAGATGCTAAATAGTTTATCTTACATTATTTTCAGTGTTTGTCGTGAGAACAGTTTTCTCATCGCTCGCACGAAGACAAAATCTCGAGACCACCTACGGTGGCCTCTCGATTTTACACACGGGCTCGAGATGAGAACATTGTTTCATGACAACCCTGCAAATACAGTGTGATAATCTAAAATCATTTGCATATCGTTTCGTGACAATACGGGGTATACTTGTTTGTGCTTTGTTATTTCGCCTCTCGATCTTTGTGGTAATAACATAATTCCTACTTTCCTGTCTTGACCAGGTTGTTCGGAATGGTTTGGTGAAACTCGAGAAGGTCACGCACCAGATCAACTATCCTGAGACGCTAGACATATCTCCGTATTCATCCAAGTTCTGCACAGTAAGTAACTATAAGTATTGGGTTATTTGTGTGTGTACCTATCACTATGGAGATGTCTATTCTCTCAAAAGTTTTCTGGGAAAGCATGTGTTATGCTGCTAGTTTGGGGACTTTTTTGCAATAAACAGTGCTATTGTTACATATTTGTTTTCGGTTTTACTGTAATTGATAGAGATTTAGCATTATGGGGTTGAAGCTATAAATGTTTATTTTATGCAGTAGGAAAAAGTACAATTGTCACTAGTACGAAATGTCTTTTTGGAGTTTGGATACTGTCTTCTTTATCTTGAGAAACTTTTAGTTCGGTTCCATTTTTTTTTTATTAAAGAATTAAAGCTCTTTTAGCTGTTGAAATAAAATATAGTCATGTTTGTATAAGGTATATGAGTCGCTCTTTACAACAATGATAATTGATTGTCGCTTATTTGGAGTTAATTCCAAAACCGACCTTTTTCTGTGTTTGGTAGTTTAATTTATAATCGATGGAATTTAATGTGTCTAGGATGGCTGTTACAATGACAATTAAAAGTTAAAGTATGAACAAAAGTCAGAAATAAGTTCGTCCGATCCATCTTAAATGTCCGAAGGCTCGAAAATATCTGTTGAGATCTTCTGAGTCTTATTAAAACAGGATTGCCTTATACACTGCATGGCATGCCTCTTCTAATCAGGAAATCCAGTTTTAACACTGACTGGGCAGAACGTTGAGCTAATGACATATCTTTAACTGTTATCAGACAGAATATCAATGTTAAAAAGCCATGAATTGATCGGAAACCGGAGGTAAAGATGCCTTACTCACTGATAGGCACGTTACCTAAAAAAAATGTATGAACTTCATTTATTTAACAACAATTATGAAAAAAGTTAATTCAACTTATATAAATCACTCTTGTTGGCCCGGATGTTAGCGCGTGGGGGCTCTTAGTGTGGGAGGAAACCGGAGTACCCGAAGAAAACCCACGTTGTTGGGCAGGTGACCCCAACCTTTTCACGTCCGATCGGGGATCAACCCCGGCCGCCTTGGTGAAAAGCAAGTGCGCTATCCACTGCACCACCCGACCACCCGCACGCTAACTAGGAAATCACTAACTGGTTAATGTATTATTTAATAAATGAATGTCATTGACATTATGGATGTAGGTGAAGCATTCTCTTATTTCTTCCAAAATATTCGATCCAGTTACTGTCGTTATTGTGATCTTATCGTATGGTGCTTCAAATGGACGCCATGTTTATTCTGTTCGTGATGAACCATTTTATTGCTGATAACACTCAAATTATATGTCCACCAAGTAATGTAGGTTATTTCTAAACATTTTCTTCAGGTTGATAAGTATGGATTATGAAAAGTTCTTTTTATACAACCAATAACATTTTCTATGTGACGTTTCGATGACTAGTACGATGTGTACACTGTCACCTTCATCAGACAAATGACCAATGACGCATATGCACACAAAGGTGTAAAATGTGTACGAGTTGTTAACAAAAATTGATGGCGATTTGGCTACGCTGTAAAACTTTACACTGTACGCTGTACACATAGAAAATTGTATTGGTTGTGTAAAAAGAACTTTTCATAAATAATAATAAAGCAGTGTAGGGGTTACAGTTTTATATCATACCATTGCTAGACTATTCCAATGATGTATTTATTGGGGTTTTTTTACAAACAATTTTCTATCGCTATTTTTTTTGTCGACAGGGGAGAATAAACGCCCAATACCAGTTATATGCTGTGATAGTACACCGTGGTGGATTAGGCAGGGGTCACTACATAGCTTACATCAAAGTACCAGCTGACGGAACTCCGCAATCAAATCAGCACTCTGCATCTAGACAGGATATAGACTCGTTACTGACTAAATACGAAACAGATCCTGCTCTTCAAACTAACTATATTAACGTATGTGTGAAGGAGGCAAACGACACATCTGTAATTGAAAAAAACACATTGCAAAAGTCGTTCAAATGGTTCAAATTCAACGACAGCAAAGTTACGGAGTGTGAAACTCCTCCTCATGGAGACGATTCATTGAGTGACGCTTATATGTTATTTTACAATGAAGTCAAATAGAAACGCCAACATGTGAAACAAAGTATTACAATTCTTGTTTTGGCTGTGACTGATCCTTATACCGGTGTATCACCCTTGGCTTTGAAAACATGGCATGTGCTGGTCAATACTTTCAATATCGCAAGTCTGGAGCAGATACAAATAAATTAACAAATTACACAATACCAGTTTTATTATACATCAATATAACATCATACCATCAGAACAATTCTACGATAATGCAATACTAGCTACGCTATTCATTATGTTAAAGATGACTCTATTGTAACAACAACCACGGTTCGAACTCAAAATCGAGGAAAAATATAATTGAAATTGGCCGTTTAATTTGTATAAACGACAATTGAAAATATTTCCAAAACATAAATCAATATGGAAAATGTACATAAAATAGTTTGGTCCTAGGTGGGGATAAAACCGCCACCTGGATAATAATTAACAGGTAAGTACCGCAATACCAGATGGAGGAAGATGGGGAGGAGGCGGGTCAAAAATGATTGTTCTTTAAACAAACAAAACTGACCTTGACCAGTGTCCATCTTTGTGGTTGTAGGCGATGTCTGCAGCGGCTGTAGTAAGCTGATGCTACGCAATCGGTTTATATAACCAGATCAATGCGCGTGACCTTTTCACCTCCTGACCCACAACCCCCTCCACTGTTTACAAACATTGCGTAGGAACTATTTATATACTGAACACATAACATCAAGTGAATCAATCAATAACCACATGTATAAAATTTAACAAAATTTTATTTTAATTGTTTATTATACATGACTTCAGACAGGGCAAGCTTGTTGGACCAAACTGACCATAAATAACCAAACACATGATTGAATTGAAATTGGCCGTTTACTTTGTATAAACGACAATTGAAAATATTTCCAAAACATAAACCAATATGGAACATGTACATCAAATAGTTTGGTCCTAGGTGGGGATCAAACCGCCACTATGGTATCTGATAAATGTCACATTTTGTACATGCTCAGAAACCATCCCCCACCCGCTAAATACGAGTTATTACGTAAGCTCCAGGTGGCGCTACGCCACCTGTGCATCAGTTCTATTCTTGACTAGACAATAATATTACCTTGATATTAACTAGTGGGAATAATCCAAACCGCCTATTAACACATGGCACCAGGAGCCATGCTAAACAACCTTGCCATTGTTGTTTATATTTACGTTGCTACAAACTTCGTAGTTAGATACTAACGATATTACAGTCAATCAGAATACTGTACCTGATTAGTGATCTTTTTAATGAAAAAATATTCCAATAAAACATCAACGAAACAAAACTGATAAAAACATGAATATAACAATAAGGTAACAAAGGAAATCGACACATTATCATTTAATTTTGCAATACTGATTTAATATATGATTTGGATTGAAGTTTAAGGTAAAATTATGATATAAACATTTGGAATACTAGAACAGTGTAGAACATGTCTTTCACTTTAAACTTATTTTCACCTGATAAATGTATGTATTACTGCGATTCTTTGGTCCATATTCTATAGTTTATCATTTGTCAACAGAGACATGTTGTTACATCGATATATATAAATATATTAGTTAGCGTAAGTTATACAATATACATAATTAAAGTGATGTTAAGGCAGCTTCGGTCTTTGTTTGATCTCTAATCGTTAAAACATCCTTTCAGTTAATCACCTGTTATGTTTTTGTATAACTTTTATCGGTTGGGAATTATCATGTTAAATGCACTTGACATAAACATTTTGATTGTCAAAAGAAAAAGTCGCGAGAATTAAATTCCTGTATAATTTGGCAAAACAGAGAGTAAATTTAACAGTAAAGTCTTAGTGTATGTCTTAATAGAGCAGTATATAACCAATAGATAGGCTTAGTATAGCAGTAGACAACAAGTAGTTGATCCTTAATGTCTTAGAATATCGGTATATAACGTGGTCTATAAGCCACAGCTGAATTCAGCTATACTGGAGCACCACTTGACCAGTGCCCGTTTTAAGTAAATGTGACTGTTAGTTTTGCTGGTAGAGAGATTGTTTTATGCTTACACTATGTATCTGGACTTTCCTTGTTGATGCATCTTACCGATCATTTATCCATTCGTCGTTTACAGCCGAAGTTGCGTCAGCCTGAAATAAAACATTGTACGACCGTCACACTGATTTCCGCCTGTGAAATTCTAGTGTGTGGCATCATCACATACCTCTTCTGTGTGTCTGCAAGCACTATTGACCTGTGTGTTTGCTATTACTGTTGACCTGTGTGTCTGCAAGCAATATTGACCTGTGTGTCTGCTATTACTGTTGACCTGTGTGTCTGCAAGCGCACTGTTGACCTGTGTGTCTGCTATTACTGTTGACCTGTGTGTCTGTAAGCGCACTGTTGACCTGTATGTCTGCAATCCCTCGTGAACTTTATGTTTATGATTATTCCAAGATTTACAGCGGACATCATGGCACGCGACTCTTGCAGTGCAGACATCTTTCACCATTCCGGAGCACAATGTTTTTGAATGTGGAAATGACGCTGTTCCTTTTCGCTTTGTTGTCACTCAGATTAATTGAAATATTCTTGTTTGTATCTACGTTGACGATATGGTATGTGTTTCTTTCTTGACACAATACATGGCATAAGACTATAATCGTGAGCTTCGAGGCGTTGGTTGTTACAGTAGACAAACATCGAGGCAAAAAAATAATAATTGAAAGACAGTAGGCGTCCATCAGTTATGTACTCTTACAACATAGAACGTGCATAAAGGTATCTCTGAACCGGGGGTCACAGCAACAGAAGATGGCCAGAGTAACAGGGGCCATCAAGCTCTGACAGAACGTATCGGCCATATTCAGGTAGCTGATAAGAAAGTTGAGGTTATCAATTGATATGCCCAAGTTAACTTGAGCATAGGTTAAGGTAAGGATGAGAAGCGCGATGAAGTCTGCGATAGCTAGTCCAGTGTAAGCAAACATGCTCACGGATATGGCACGAATGACCTCTTTCTTTTGGTAAGTCTCAACAGCGTCTGAATGACTCACGCGTTTCATTATGTACAGCCTCAAGGTCAGAAGGATGCCGACCGTTACCATGACGACAGTAGGGAAAACGTGAGTGACCACAAACCGTCCTAGGTATACGTGTCTCTGGTAGTACTCGACACTTAAGACCATATCACCAGGGAACGGTATACAACACTCTCGTTCAGATTTCTCGTCTAATTTGGAGACCCAGGGGACAGGAATAAATCGTAATAGATACATAGCTGGTATGTATACGAGAACACCTGTAACACAACTCAACAAGCAGAACCAAATTGTCCTCCGGGAGGTCATCAGCACTTTTTCCTTCTTCGGAGCAAACATCATTATAAGTCCTTGTACAGCCAGAACGACTTTCAGCAAGGATAGCATAATGTTAATAACTGCTGGGGAGTCAATATTGGCTCTTGAGAAGGCTTCGCACCACTTGAACTCCAGATAATCGGTGTACATAGCATTGTTCCCTAAAAGTATTACACTTAAGGGAATACGGACGATGAGACCCAGTGACGTCAGGATCAGGATACAAGTGACGAGTCTTTGTACACCTATGTAATCCTTCTGGCGCCGGAACAGGATGATGATGGCGATGGTGAATATCGTCGAGGAGAAAGACAGTATAGGCAGCACATAAGCCATGCAGGTAGCAACTACTGGCGGTATGTTCTTATTCAAACGCAGTAAGAAAAAGTCAATGTCTGGGTTCGCCTGAGCGGTAGCCATATTGGTTTTTATCTGAGAACTTCAGTTCCTTCTGTGTCACAGCAGGGATCTGTTATTGGGGTTTATATATTACCTGTGGCTCCCCGCTGACGTTACTGATTGGCTGCCAGTAAAATCCTGGTATGCCAAGATAGCGATAATCATCTTATATTGTTTCACACCTATCTCTATTTTATAAAATGATTAAGTTTCACACAATCAGGTCTCTATGAGTGGAGTTAACGTAAGTGTAATGATGTGACAAAGAGTGTATACAGGTGTGAACTCTCCGTGAGAGTAGCCTCCTACATATTGTGATGCTATTATCTATTATTAAACGTTAACGATGATAGTAAACTAAAAAACGGCACACATACAGAACAAACTGTATACAATAAACAAACAAAATGTCGCATAAAGAACCACACTGATGCAAACACGAAAAAATTTAAGAGATGGGAAGAGGCATTAAGAAGGACAACAAAATCAAAGGGGTTGACTAAGAGCGACATGCAAATGAGATTTTATAATGAAACACTCAACGTTAAGCGTGCCTGTTACAATAGGTACCTAGTAAGGACCATCGTACGTGTCTGTTCCAGTTGGTACACAGTTATGAACAGTGTACGTGGCTGTTCCAGTTTGTACACAGTTATGAACAGCGTACGTGGCTGTTCCAGTAGGTACATACTTTTTCACAGCGTACGTGGCTGTTCCAGTTGGTACACAGTTATGAACAGCGTACGTGGCTGTTCCAGTGGGTACATACTTTTTCACAGCGTACGTGGCTGTTCCAGTTGGGACACAGTTATGAACAGTGTACGTGTCTGTTCCAGTTTGTACACAGTTATGAACAGCGTACGTGGCTGTTCCAGTAGGTACACAGTTATGAACAGTGTATGTGGCTGTTACAGTTGGTACACAGTTATGACCAGTGTACGTGGCTGTTCCAGTTGGTACACAGTTATGAACAGCGTACGTGGCTGTTCCAGTTTGTACACAGTTATGAACAGCGTACATGGCTGTTCCAGTAGGTACACAGTTATGAACAGTGTATGTGCCTGTTACAATAGGTACCTAGTAAGGAACATCGTACGTACATATGAGTCACGTGACAACAATGACCGCACGCTTTTAACTGCTCCAGGTAAATCTTGAGATTTATCATATTTTACTATAATGTGAAGACAAACTTGTATCATACAATGATCTACATCGATGTGAGCCTTGGAAATCCTTGATGAAATGACATTTATGCCGACCTAAAAGGTGTTTTGTGGCTATGTGTTTGAACTGCATACCTGCGTACAGGTGACCTACACGTACACGTACCGGCGAGCGGGGTGAGTGAGTACTTCTCCTTGTTTACAATATCAGCGCATATGTCGGATATTCCTAACGCAAAACGTTACAAAGTTCAAGCACACTTACGTCGACGTAGTTCTCTACCTGACATGTCTGTTATTTCTAGTGATTCTCAAAAGCCTACAATGTCCACCCCAGGAAACCCCCCATCGGAATCGTTCGTTATCCAGAGCCAGGGTCAAGTTATTAACTTAAACCAGCTCGTTCAAGCTACTATAACATCGCCAGGTTTTGCCAGCAGCATAGCCCCCTCCCTAGCTACGGCTCTTGGCCCGTCTATTAATCAGTTCATTATATCAGCTATGACTCCCTTCACAACTCAAATTTCGAAGTTAACCGAGGAAATGACTGCTCTCCAAAGTGACAATAAGGCTCTGAAGAGTACGGTAGAGCAGTTAGAATCTAAGGTAGATAATCTAGAATCCTCCCTTGAGGAGCTAGAGCAGTACGGGAGGAGGACTTCGTTACGTTTCCACGGAGTCCCAATGAAGCCAGAGGAGGCCCAAATGACCGACGACAAAGTAGTTGAGCTCTGTGTTACTAACCTTGGCATCCCCATCACCACAGAAGACATTAATAGGTCACATGTTATAGGTAAAGTGAGGAATGGTAAAGCTCAGATCATTTGTCGCCTGCGGAACTGGAAGGTCAAAAATTTAATTTTTCAGGCAAAAAGTAAATTGAAAGAATCCAGGCAAAACATTTTTATATCAGAGGACTTAACAGCTAATCGTCAGGCATTAATTAAAAGTCTAGGCAAGGCCAGAAAAGCAAAGAACATTTACTCTTACTGGACAAACGACGGACGTGTCTTCTATAAAGTTGCACAGGACTCGCCCAAAATACTCGTCAAGACACACAATGACATATCGGACCTTGTACCAGAGGGCCATTGAGTGACTGTCATGTTTACACAGTAAACACAGCCAAAAATGACTTGACATTCTGTACATAATGTCAGTTCATTAAAATAGTTATACATATATCATACAAAAAACCACCACCCAATCCATTTCCATCCATGGTTGGCATAATAAATATTACATGCATGCTACTAATGTATGTATTTAAATATGTATAAATAGGTGCACGCGTGTGAGCATATTTTGTACGTGTGTTTATGTGTGGATTACATACATATAGAAGCCTGTGTATAACCATAAGTGTATGTGTATATACTCTGTGTATGTTCGGGTGAGATATTTAATTTCATTTAATTTCATATACATGCACGAGTATTTAAATACTATATATAATATAATATATGTGAACGTTTACTTGTATGCATAGCAAATTAAATAGTACATGCATGCTGCTTATGTATGTATGTATGTATGTGTGTGTATATATATGTATGTGTATATTCGTGTATGTCCATGTACTTACTCCTTTCTGAAAGGCAAATCAGTTTTGAAAATAAATAACTTATACAGTGTATGTATAAATAGGTGTACGTGCATGTGTATTTGTAAAATGAATTATTTGTGTTTTTTCAAATTCATGCATGAGTCTTTCAATATTATGGGTTGTAAATACGTTGTTATATATACATGTATGTGTGTGTTTCATGTTTG